ATTCGCCGATTCTTGGTGGGATCGTTGCCTCCGACACTCTTAGGTTGTCAGTAGTTCTAGCACGATTAGAGTGACTAATTTGTGGACTAAACGGCTTTACAAAAATATTTACGAAAATAAAATAAAAATCTCTTTTGCATGTTAAAAAGAACTTTGCATAAAAAAGACTTAAACAACAACTTTCGCATGGAAATCAAATAATCTTTCTATGAAAATTTATAAAAGTCGATGGTTAGTCATTTGGATTGAGGTTAAGAACTACCTCCTGTAGATTATCGAGTTGGCAACTCTTACTCAAGATCTAGGACATCTCCTACATTTTCTTTTCTTTAGACTCCTGAAATAACTGTTCTTACTTGAGTCACTCCCACTTTTTTTTTTCATGTCCTACCGTGAAAACCTAAACCTTGAAATCTTGAAGACTAGAACCACTGATCATTATCGAGAGTTTTCTCAGGTGACTCCAATCATTTGAAATGTAATTAACTATAGGGGTTTGCTTTTATAGGGAACTTGGAACCCAGGTAAAATAAACCCTAACCCCTATTTAATCTTTATATTATATAGGGGAACTTGTCGGTCATACATAAAATGTTCGCAGACCAAATAGATGTCACAAATCTCTTAGTTTGCAGGATTGGGTTTATCGCCGAGGTCTACACTTATCTTTCGGGAGGGTGTAGTATTCGCAGTATCGGGCACGATTATGCAAACTATTGGACGAATGAGATCCATTTGGTCTCATTTTTCAAAAATTAAAACATACTACTTTCAAAACCCAAACTATATATCTTTTATATTTAAATTAAATCTCAAAAATTATTTTCATATATCATATTTTTTAAATAAATTTAATCAAAGAAAAGTTGACCGACAATGCTAGAGTTGTTACTTGTGTTCAATGAGGATTGACCAAGTATTTTCCTATTTCAATTGGGTTACATCAGGAATCAGCTTTAAGCCCTTATCTTTTATTGTAGTTATGGAAGCTTTTACTTGACATTTACAAGAGGATGTACCTTAGTGTATGTTTATGACATCCTTCTTGTGGATAAGATGAGAGAGAATTCAAGAAAAACTTAAATTATTGAGATCAACTTTAGAGTCTAAAGACTTTCGTTTGAGTAGATGTAAAACTGAATTTATTGAATGTAATTAAAAAAAAAAGTATCAAGTAGCGATGTCGTAACAATGGGTGCTCAAGTCATTAAAAAGAATGACTAGATATCTCGGGTCTATTGTTCAAAATGATGGTAATATAGATGGGGATGTTATTAGTAGAATTCAAGTTAGATGGTTGAAGTGGAGGTTGCCTTGGGCCTATTGTGCGATAAAAAAAAGTACTGCTTAGACTTTAAGGAAAAACACCTGCACATCCTGCGTCTCTCCCATGAAGGAACAGTCGCGACTCTCGTCCCTGTAGAAGAACCAGTCCTAGGAGAGTCAGACCCACCGGTGGCCTAGCTAAGCCAGCCGGCCCAACCTAGAGGGCGGGTTCTCCATAAAATTCTGAGAGCGATTCCAGCGCACCATTGGGGCCCACTAAGCCGCTAATCAAGTATAGGAGGAAGGGAACCAAGGGGGATTTTGGGAAGAAAGTTTGAGAGTATTTACGAGGGATAAGAGCTGAGGTTTGTCTATATGTTTTGCTTGGCTGTTGTTGTTTTTCTTTTGGATGATGTTCTCAGCGACGTCTAGGATTTGTGGAAAGACGATCTACCTATCAAATAGTAGATGTATCTTGTTTCTTTTCATTGGTTTTGATAAAAACAGAGCTCATTTGAGTTTCTCAACCTCTCTAGTGCAATCTATTAGCTATTTGTTCGTTGTTTTTTGTTCCAAATCGTATCACAGACCTGCAATGCTTTATGGCACAAAACGTTGGCCTGTAAAAGAGAAGCAAAAAATTAACCTAAGTGTTGTTGAGATGAGAATGCTCAGGTGGATGAGTGATTTTAAGCTAAAAGACGAAATATATCCATGAAGTAGCATATAAGAATGGAGAGAGACACCTTAGAAAGTTGGGTCACATTCAACGTCGACCATCTCATGACCCTATTAGGAGAGTAGATGTTTTAAATGCATGCAAATGCTTTAGATTTGATTTATGCTAAGAAAGATAGAGGTAGACCTAAAAAATTAGGGTATGTTGTATAAAAAATGAACATAATTTATTAGAATTAAATGAAAATACGACATTCAATAGAAGAATATTGAGAAAAGGATTCATGTAGCCAACCCCACTTAGTGGGATAAAAGCTTCTTGTTGTTGTTGTTTTTGTTGTTGTTTTAGACCAAGCTCTTAACACTATCTAAGTAGGACATTACCCCTGCAATATTTGTGAATTATTTCAAAGAAACTTGTCTTGATTAAAGCAAGAATATAGAACTAATCAAGAGAATCCATCATATACTAAAAATGTAACCAAATATTCTAGTGATTCAAAGGCTCAAGTTGTTATAGCAATTTATAAATCAGCATATAAGTAACAAAATAATGGTCTGTCAAAACAGAAGAAATATACATCAAAATAGCTATCACATACCTTTGAATCTCAATTATTGGAAGGCGGACAGCAATGAGTTCACAAAACAATTCAATGATCTCTTGTGCAGCCATCATGTTCTCCTCTCGAATTATGTGCTCCACCTGAGAGATAAATAAACTAATTTTAATCACCTATTACTGTTCACCTCCCATCATCCTCTTCTTACAAAAAACAAAATAAAATAAATAATAGGAAGTGCAAGCACAGGAATCAATTAAATTAAGTTTATCACAGAATTCAATACATAGCCAATCACCTCATCAAAGTTAATCAAGGTAAGGGAAGTCCACTAAGCTGAAAATTTATTAAACAGATGCTTAAATTTTTGAAAATTAGAAATACTTCTATTTACTTCCAATAAAAATAGAAGAAATCACAACATAATGCTTCAAATAACTTCCTATGCAAATAGTTTTCAATCATGATATCTTATATCATGGATTTGATATTAGGCTATAGATTTTAGGATTGTTTAAGATCATTCAATGAAGCCATATGAGACAGTAACGGAACATAAGTTTAAGAAAATAATGCTAGCTTCAAATAATCAATTTAGTTTCATGCCAAGAAGAACTAAAATGGAAGTGATTTTCATGTTTAGACAAGTGATCCACAAATATAAATAGAAAATAAGGATATTCATATGATTTTTATTAGTCATCTGAAAGCATTCGATTGAGTATCACAAAATTTCACTTAATATGCATTGAGACATAAATGCATGTTATAGAAGCATGTTGAAGTTGTCAAATATATGAATGATGAAGCATACACTAGTATTAAAAGTACTTGTAAAGTAAACAATGAGTTTCTAATTAGAATAGGATCGCCTCAAGAAGTAACATTTAGTCCATACCGTTTTTATTACTTATGGAGAAGCTTACAAAACATTTACAGAATAACTTGGCTTGGCATTTACTTTTTGTAGATGATATAATTCTAAATTGTGAGAAATCTATTGAGGTAAAGAAAAAATAGGACAACAGAGAGAAGGCTTAGAAGATAAATCATCTAAAATCAGCAAAATAAAGATAAGAGTATATGATATATATTTTTAGTGGATTTTATATTAACAATTATTAATCAATATTATTAAAAGATAAATTGGTGTCATAGATTTAAGAACTCTGAATCTATTATAATTATTTCAGAGGACTAGACATATAGATAAGTTAAATATGTTTTATGAGTATTATTCAATAAAAGAATACCATATAAACTTAAATGACAATTCACCTTACAATTAACTATGATTTATGATTCCACTTAAATAAAATCCTAACCCAAAATGTTTAAAAATAAAAATCTAAACCATTCATTCTCAACAAAACCTAGCCAATTCAAATGGTCAAAATTAATTACATATTGCTTATACCACAATGCTCCGATGTCATGACAATTTTAACCCTGTTAGTCCAGCAATACTAGCAACCATGAACCTTTACATAAGACTCAAGATTACCAAGGGGTGTCAATTCGGGTTGGTGGGTCGGGATCCGATTCGACCTGAATCGGGTCAACCCAAACCCAACCCAAATAATAAATGGACCATATCCGACTCAAAAATATTCGGGTCAACCCAAATCCAAATTTTTTGAGTCATGATGGTGCGTCGGGTCTTTGACAACTAGGGATGTTAATTTGGGTCAGCTTGTCGGGTACAGGAACGACTTGAAAATGACCCCACCCGAATCAAATCAACCAGAACCTGACCCGAATAATAAATGGGTCGAGTTCTCTAACCAGAACCCGACTCAAAAAATATTTAGGTCAATATGAACCCAAAATTTTACAATGCAAGTTTGAGTCATATTGGCGTGTTGGGTCAATTTTTAACACCCCTATGATTACCTCCGTATGTGTCTCAATCCCTTTCAAATTATCTTTAGCAAAAGTTGAATCATTTTAATCCCAAACACTATACATCTGCTAACCCTCTCATGTGAATCTTCTTTCCTCCGTGCTACTCAATTTCTTAAAAATTCTCTTTTATGTCTGGTCAAATCCCTACTTGACTTTTTCCTAGAATATTGCTCCTTTTTTTTAGTTTTATATTTTTTAGTTTTATTTATTCCCTTTACTCCCAACCACCATCTTAATCAAGTATTTAAAATTGTGGGTTTTTGTTGCTCTATAAGAAAGAATTTACTTCCCACTTGAAATCTACAAGTTGGACCAATAGCAAAGAAGCTTTAAGAAAGAGCCCCCTCTCTTGCACATTTTTCTAATATTATTAAGGGTTTGAATTCATTACCTATGCTGTCATTTTATAAGGTTAGAGGTGTCTAAAGGTGATATTTCTTGTACTCGTTCATATTTTAATGTTGTAAATTTCAAGTTGAAAGTCTAGGAATAGTTTCTTCATCAAATGAATGATGCAGAAAGAATGATGATAAAAGCATATGATTTTTATTTTTTTTTATTTGCATAAAAGAATGCATGCTAATGAGTTAAGTATATTAAAAATTTATAATTTTATAGGGGTCTTTACATATCAACCACTCAAAACATTAAATATGACATATTAAACACCCAAACTTTAAATATAACATTTTAATCACCAAAAATTCTCTCAAAGCCTTCACTACTTGTAAAGAAGGATGGTTGAAATGAAAAAAGTGATTACAATGTTATATTTAAAGTTTGGCTGGTTAAAATGTTATATGCAATGTTTTAGGTGATTGGTATGTAAAAACCCAAATTTTATAATGTATTATTAAATAGAAAAATAAGCCCTTTTTGCTTAAATGCATTATTAATAGCTTCCTCATTCATAATTAACGAATAACCTTAAATACTTTAATTGATATAGATTTAAAATAATAAAGAGATTGGTAAGAGTAAAAGATTTTGATGCTTCGGTTCTATCAAACAAACAAATATATAAATGGAGGAATATTTTAGCAAAAAAGTGATAAAATTATCGCATGATAGTTTATTATAAAATCAATAAACAAATAAAAAAAAGACTTTCCACATTGCATGATTTTAAGTGTTGGACAACCAGGAATCATAATTAAGTGTGATAAATGAGAATCTAAAGATGCATGAGTGATAAAATTAAGGGACAAATGATGACAAAATGATCCTACTCATAATTTCTCTAATGAAAAAGATAATTTTTTTCAATAGTATGTACTGAAGGCAACTGTATAATAGTGTAGGTATATGTACAAAGGAGAGCAAAAGATGTCCTGATAAAATGACAACTAAATCAATTCAAATTTCATGTGAAGGAAGAGTGACAGACATAAGAAAACTTAGCGAAAGTTGTGAATAAATATTTGAAAGAAAAAAAAAATTTCAAACGTGGCGTCTATTGCAACATCAAAAACTTAATTGGACACCATACATCATTTTCAACCAAGTGAAATCAATCCTATTTGTCATAAAACAGCAAAATGTAATTAATAACCAACATAAATGTTGTTTACTGTCATAAATTTGATCCAACTTGCAACAAGGTTGTATTCTTAAGCAGAAAACACCAAACAATTCCTTTATTTTAGTATCACGACTAGGCTCATATTTCAATATGAAAAATATTGCCCAATGAAATTTTATAGACATACAGTAAACACGAAGCTGAAATGCTGTATGGGGCCTGTTAGAGCTGGCCACACCAGCAATATTCTATCAGAGTCATGCCTATGGGGACAAACTGAGCCACACCATTTCAACAAAATAATGAGAAAATATTCCTAAAAATAATATTTTTTTCTCAAATAGATCCTTTTTTGCTGGATAAAATTTCAATTCATTTCCCAAGGTGGTCTTTGGTTGCAAAGTTTAGTCAACCTTTAGCTAAAATTTATGCTAAATCTAGTTAAAATTTTTTGAGCCACATAAATCATACCATCCCCCATTTCCTCTCTTCTTAGTCAAAATAATAGATTTAGAAAACACTTGGAGGTTTAGGATGTAATAGATTTACACTCTTATGAATATCCCTTTTCTTCTCCTTCATATAAAATCTAAATCTTGACAATAGTAAAACACATATTGAACGGCTGACAAGATTTTAACTAGACTTGGAATCTATCAAGCCAAACAACTGTCAAGTTTTATATTCTTACATCTTTACTAAATCCTACTGTCAGCCAAACAGCCCCTAAAAATCCTTTTACACACATGAAATGAAAAGATATCAGACTTCAATAAGGAAATAAAAAGGGGGGGAAAATCTAGCCATACCCTAATACGGGCAGTAGCTTCTTGCCCATTCTCGAGAAGATTGGCAATATCTTTTCGCATCTGCTTCAGCTGAATCTCTCTTCTATTCCGCAGAAGCTTTATCCTCGGAACTGTCAGCTTCAGCAGCGTTTTGCTGATCAACCAAAACAGTAAATTTAAACTAAATCCACAAAGGTTCACAATTAATTAAATGAAATCAATTTCAGTAAACAATTACTCCCGTAAACCAAACCATACCCACAAAATTCACCATAGCTCGCAAGGCACAAAATCAAAACCCAAAATCTCAACCTAACTGAACAAGGCTTTGCGGGAACCAAAAAAAGCAATCAAAGATCAAATATCTACCATTTCGCCGCTTTGAAACCCTTGTTAAAAAACGAATCAAGCATGGCGATCGGTGATGCTGACACCAAAACCGATAGTCAGCAAATCTTTCTCAATTCAAGGCTCGGTCTGCGAAGAGAGCGGATGAATATTAATCGAGTGAGAGGGAGAAAGGAAAGAGGAGAGAAACCCACCGCCGGCCGTGCGCGTACCTGCTTCACCTTTAGACAGGAATGGTGACCTTTGCCTTCAGCTCGAAGGTTCTCTCCATGCGAAATACTCTTCGCCAAGGCACCAATGCCGACACGAAACACGACACGACACACGACACGCATTCGACACGGGATATATCTGCATTTCATATAAATTATAACATATATTTTTAAAGAATAAAAATAATACAAGTTAATTGCGCTATAGAGACTCATTAAAAAACAACCAGTCAAATTCTTAATTATCAAGATGCAAATGATAATAATAATATTTAGTGTTGTAAAAGTCGAGTTAAATAGTGACTTGCATTTTGTTTCGATGATTCACGACCAAATGATATAACTTATGAAGAGGAGAGAGAGATGAATAATAATGAATAATATTTTCTAGTGTCTATTCATAATGTTTCAACGATTTATAAATGAGATATATAATGATGATATTATATTTTTTACTCTCATTTGAAAAGCGGTATGTACAATGGTCTCTTTAGTATTTTACAAGCATGGGTTTTATCATTTGGTTTCCTTGTGGTTTGTGTTGGTATCATTTTTTGATATCCCAGACGTATAATGTCCGCTTGAACGACCTTAGAATATGCTTCACGCACATGACTCCCCGAGGCTCGAGATATTTGTCTTCGATCCTCCGGCAGGTGGCTAAGATTGTTTAGCTAGGCTTTGGCTATCGATGAGACGTGGGTCAGCCGACATTACATTGATGAGATGGGTATGATTGGACGAGTTTTGTTCGACGCAACACGAACAAATCAGGCTCTAAATTGGCTTGCTCGCGATGAATTATCCTTTAGATGACTGGATGGTGGAATGGACAACGCAGAAGCATCAGAAACAACGTTTTCGCTTAAGAAGGATCTTCTAAGTCTTGTCACCTGGCCTAAATCATCAAAATCATGAAACAACCTAAACAATGTAAGTGTGACCACGCCCTTATGGTGGTGTAACTGCACTCAGGAGTGGCCATGCCCACTCTTCAACCATTTTTTTTAGTTAACTCATTGCATGGTCGCTCATTTTCCATTTTGACAATGTCTATCCACCATGATAAGCTATTGGACCGGTTTAAATGCCAAAAATGGCATGTGAGTTATTTGAGACCTTGCCAAATGAGGCAAACGATCATTCCATGCCTTGAGCCCAGAAAAATATATAGTGCAGGGAAGACTAGAGGAGATTGCGCTCATTTCACTTAGAGGGAACCAAAGAGCGATCACTGAGAGCATGGGGGAGAGTTTTGAAGATTTCTTAAAGAGCTTCTTCATCATTTTTCTTCTTCATTTTCTCCATTCTTCTTCTTCTTCCTCTCATTTTTTTTTCTCGCTCACCGTCTTGGTTTCAGAAACAGAGAGGAAGAGTGAAGTGTGGTGTTGCGTCGACGCTAGCAAACTCCTTGCGATGAGAGCTTCATCACCTGAGGGGAGCGAAGACGAAGAGAGCTTCTTCACGAGCAATGAGTGACCTTCGATCAACCACTATGGCAGTATAACCTCCTCAACCTACGCATTTTTCCATTTCCTAGAGACTCTAGGTATGGTTGTTTGTTGTGCTTAGAGGAGACTGATAGGTTAAAGTCCCTCTGTGGATTCTCCCATACAAACCCGAGCTGTTCCTTGAAGCCATACCACTAAAATCCCATAGAAGATAGGAGGTAACAACCTCGTTGTTTGTTCCAGCGATTTTACTGAGATGGATGAGTGAAATCAAATGATCATGCAGATGATGACGCCCCTTTGGTCGTCATTTGCTCGATCATGACGAGTTCTCCTTGTGAGTAAATACTTTGTTCTATGTCGGGCAAATGGGAGACAAGGTCATGTCGCTTCGTGCAATATGACATTGACATCTCTTCCATCAATTCAACCCTAGAACCTACGCGAGGTTGTGTTGTCAAGCGTTTTAGGTTGCATTGCATATGTGTGTTCATTTAATGCATTTTTTAATGTGGATCATGTCGCATGTCGTACGCGTAATCGCGTGAGCACTTTGGTTCGATCGTCCACCTCGACATAATTGACCGATCACTTTAGATCTGGTCAGCCGCCCTGGTTAGTTTGACCTATTCTCCAAGCTCAATCGGTCGTCTTAGCGCCCGATCTTTTGAGTTCGATCGACCGCCGCATGTCGATCACCTTCTTTAGGTCTGATCTCCCGTCCCGACCCAATCGATTTATTTTTTAGGTTCGATAGGCCACCCCGTCCTTATCGCCCAATATTTTGAGTTTGATTGGCTGCCCTGACTGGATTGTCCTATCTTTTGGATTTGATCGATTACACAGGTTCGATCGCCCACCTCAACACAATCGTTATATCACTTGGGTTCGATCGACTGAACTGGTTTGATTACCCATTTTTGGTTCGATCACCCACTCTGATCTGATTCTCCAATCTTTTGGGTTTGATTGACCTCACAAATTCAATCACCCCATTTTGGGTTCAATCAGTCGCTCCAACCAGATCACCCAATCTTTTGGGTTCGATCGACTACATTAATTTGATCACCCACTCTGGGTTCGATCGGTCGCCTCTATTGGAGGGCAGACTATTGCATCAAGCGAGCATTCTTGTAGTGGATGACTCAGACGTTCTATTGACTTGTTTCTCATCCAATGTTTCGTTCTTGGTTCATCTGAAAAGTCTTCTTGTTTGCCTCGTGGATTGGCCAATTTTGGCCAAATTTGCATTGCTTGTATGGCTTTGCTCGTTTGGTGAGGCGGGTCTGATGATCCCCTGACAGTGGGCCTGCATCCTTCATATTCTTTTATTCTGAATCGTTAGATCTCTCTTAGATCAATGCATACATTTATTTGATGTACACTTTTCATAAATTATGATAGTAGTCAAAATAAAAGTAAGAAATTTATAAAAAAAAATAAAAAATGATATGCCAATTAATCCTTTAAAGAAAAAAATTTGGTAAAACAAGGAAATGATAAGTCATAATATAAAATGGGCTCAACATACCTTCTCAAGAAACTATATCATCTTAGTATGAAATGGCCATTTTTTTTTTTTTTTTTTTTTTTGACAACCATTGCTTAATGGACATCACAAATTCCTTAATCATGATTCACTAATTGTGATGGACTGATGATAAACTAAAAAAACTAAAGCAATAACCAACAAGACAATTAATTAGTAAATAGCTATGTTGCAAGTGATATTTGAGTGATCCTTATGTTAACATACAAGAATTAGGTGGTAGGTATTTAAAAACCATTAACTTTTATCAGGGGCATTTACATACATACCGACACTAAAATTTTAATTTTAACATCTATACTAAAAAATATATTTATATCATATAAAAAATACTATTATTTATTTTTCTTTAATAGTTAGTTTTATATGTATACATAAGGTGACATGTACATAAACAAACATTAAAGTTGTGTTATATATGCAAATTAATATGAATTAACTCATAATTATATAAATTTTCTTTTTTTTTATCGGGGGCGTTTAGATACGTCAAAATCAAGATTTTTATATTTTTTTAACAACTAAGATTTCATGATTACAAACATCATATGAAAAGAAGGAATCATTATCATTTTTTAATAGTCATGTTTTCATTCATAAATGAAGTATGTGCGTAAAAATGAAATTTTTGATATGAGATAGGAATATATATATATATATATATATAATTTTCTCGTTTTATTAATATGGCCTAATTGTACCATAAAACCCTAATAAGTTATGTTGGGAGAATGTTGGGAGAGAGAGAGGAGAGTGGAAGGCGCCATTACCATGATTTCGCTTACTCGAAATCTCTGCCTGCTCCCCCGTCTCACTCTTCGCAGCTCGATTTTCATCTCCTCATCCCTCTTCTTCTCCACTTCCACAGCCAGAAAACCTTCTCCCAAGCTTTCATTCATCGCAGGATACCTCATATCCTCAATCGGTTTTTCGCCGGAGAAGGCCATCGAAGCATCCAAGCAAATCCGCCACATCAATTCCCCTTCGAAACCTGACGCCGTGCTCAAATTCTTCAAAAGCATCGGTCTTGACGAAGCTGGCATCAGAAATGCGGTTTCTCGAAAGCCCATTTTACTCTGCACTCAGGTGGAGAAAACTTTGAAGCCGAAGGTGCGAGTTTTACAGCAGGTAGGCTTTTCACAACCCGAAATCGCCAAGCTGATTTCGGAAAACCCTTTTTTCCTCCACCGTAAGAACGTTCAGCTGAAGATCGAGTTCTTGGCGGATCTCTTTAGTTCGAAAGCGGATCTCTATCGAGCCATCATTAAGAACACACACCTTCTATGCTCCAATCTGGATAATAGAATCATGCCAAATGTCTCCTACTTGAGAGCGTGTGGACTTTCCAGCGATCAAATTGGCTATCTCATGAAATGCAACCATAGATTTATCACCAGAAGACTCGATTCCATCAAGAGCGTTGTACAGCGAGCGATAGAATTAGGGTTTTCTCCGGAATCAAAAATGTTCCGCTTCGCGCTGCATTCCACCTGCCGCATGAGCAGAGCTTCCGTAGATGCGAAGATCAAGGTGATGAGGACCTTCGGGTTGTCTGAAGCCGAAATTTCATCGGCGATTCTGAAGGCTCCACAGCTGCTGTTTTTGTCTGTGGAAAATATCAAAAGCAAGGCGGATTTCTTCATGAAAAGACCAGATTGCGAGCTCTCTTATGTAATCTCTCACCCGAAGCTTCTCTGCTATAGCTTTGAGAAGAGGTTGGTTCCGAGATATCATGTTCTTGAGCTACTCAAGTTGAAAGGTCTTCCTAAGAGAAAATGTGGACTCTTTTACTGCATGATGATCAGTGATAAGAAGTTTGTGGAGAAGTTTATTTTACCATATGAAAAGGAGTTGCCGGATCTTAGTAAAATTTTCCTTTCTGCGTGTGCTGGCAATGTTTCAATGGAGGATTGTTTCTCATGAAAGACAAGAAAGCGAGGTTTACATGAATTTAAAAGAAGATTGGATTCAGCAAAGAAACCAAAGGTACAAGTTTTGGGTTTTGATTGTTTTTATGATGTTTTAATAGTTCTACTAACAAGTATAAGGCTATTGGCTCAGATGATTTAATTGCTGAATAGACTAAGGAGTTGTTTAGCTGCAGGTAGTATTTGTAAATTCAGATTTAGTATAGCTTGATAAGTTTAAAAATCTCAGAATTTATTTTGTATGGAAAATGTAACTATTTTTCAGTTCTGATGAATTGTTTGACTATTTGTTTTATGATTTAAGATTCATGAGAGGGAGAACTTTTTAAATCTGTTGAATCTTGTGAATGTCGTGGATTCAAAACATCTTGGATTAAATCAATGATGAGACTGAGATGGAATTTATCAAACCAATAGGATTCAAAGTCTCTAAAATTTTGTCTAGTAGGATTTGGGCTGTCTTGCTTAAATTTTGTCTTTAGGTGAATTAAAACCAGAAAGTTATTGATATGATCATTTATAAATATTATCACATTATAATATGGTAATGTCATCACTGGCTTATAGTTTCCGTTATTCTTTCCATTTTGCCCATGCAGTGCTAAGTAGGCTTATTAATGTGTTGAGCCTTCCCTTAACTGAATTCCAACCCCAGTATGGTTCAATACGTCCAACATATTTTCCTTTTTATTCAACCTAGGGTTCATTTGGGGTGGCCACAACTGTCTTTTATTTAAGTAGCACTAGAAGTAAAACTATTGTAGGAAAGCAAAAATTTTGAAGTTTTAGGTATTATTATTGTTATTACTACTATTATAATAATAATAATTATTATTATTTTAAAAATGGGGGACAATAATTTTCTTATGTCTACCTCGGTCTAGCAACTTTAGTAGTAAAAATTTATTTCTTTTCATAGAAATTTTTTAAAAATAGCTAAAAGTTTGTGGCCAAACAGAATTATGTTAGCCATCTGAAAAAGGAAACTCGGAAAAAATTATCCCAAATAGATCTTAATTCAAGCTGGGTTGGACCTTTGGTAAACCTACATTTCGATGAATAGAACTATCATTTATGAAAAATGTATACCAAAATGTCTCACTTGAAATATCATTTTTTAGCAACTCTATCACTGATTTAAGAATACAACAATTACAACAAGCCTTTATCCCACTATGTGGGGTTGACTACAAAAATCTTTTTTCTCCATTGTGTTTTATTAAGCGTCATATTTTCATTTAATTCTTATAAATTAAAATCTTTTTTTATACAATATGCCAAGTCTTTATAGGTCTACCCTTGCATTTCTTAACATAAGTCAAATCTAAAGCAACTACTCTCTCCTAACCAGATCATCAGATGGTCGACATTTAATATGGCCAAACCATCTTAAGATGACTCTCTAATCTTATTTGCCACGGGAGCTATACCAACCCTTTCACGGATAGATTCATTACACATTTTGTCTCTAAGAATATATAAACTAAATGATGATCATTGGTGTAATCCTGTAATAATTTAAAATACAGTGATCATTTTATAATGACTTGTAATAGTATTCAATGCTTCATCATACATATCTAATATTTTTAATGTATATAACATTTTATAGGTGCATATTTCCTCCTTAACGCATCTTTCATTAATTAATATACTTGATTATTTGCCTTTATATGATCGATAAAAATATAAAAAAGATCTTTTCTTATTGCTCAATACTTTTCATTAATTATTTAAACTTAAAAAATTATTTGTATAATGGATACTAACATGGAATCCAATTAATTGTTCAAAACCAACATAATTTTTTTAGGCTTATGTACAACTGCTCTGAGTAAATTTATTGAATGATCTCTAAGTGTGCTTCATTTTTCTAGTGCATTCTATTGTTCTTAAATATTGATTGCAAAATACTTTCTTCCATTATTTGACTCTTTTTAGTCGTTAAAACTTCATTTAACATATGTTAAATCAAAGTGTTAAATTTAAATTATTAATCATTATTGTCCAAATTATAGTAGATATGTTACATTGGACAAAATCTTTGTAAAGTTTATTAGTTACTGATTAGTAATAATTATTCTTTTAATAATGATATATAAATAGTCAAATGGATTTAAAAAAAGATCATGTAAATGATATATACTATTAATTATTATGAAATTAATAATTATGAAATAATATTTTTGAAAGATGATTTGATACATAGTTTTGATTTGTTTAGGTTGAGTGGGCTGATGAGTATATGATTAAAGAAGTTCAACTCGGGTGGTCGAAATAATAATAATTATCAAGCTTAGTATAGAGTGATAAAGAAGTTAAACTTGTTTAGGTTTGATTTGTAAGTGAATATTATGAAGACTTCAAAGTTTTATTAAGCTACAAATAGATAAATCATGTTACATGAATCTAAGTGTGATAAAGAAGTCACTATCATCCAAGCTTATTATGGTAATAATGATAAGATTATTGTCAAAGTTTGGTCAAGAATGATAGATTATCAATTAATTATAGAAAATTCAGAATATCATCTATTGAAAATAAGACATTTAAAAATATAGTTAATTAATTAAAGCATGCACAAGTAGGTTGGATCACCAACAAGATAACTAGATAGGTATTAGAAAGGAAAATGCATAAACAAAAGGTCTTGGGGTTAGAAATTGTGCAAAGTAAAATCACTCCTCATCACTAAATGGAGAATTATGGTTTATAAAGCTGGATCAAAATATTTGGGATAAAACTAATGATGATGATAATGTTGATCACAAGATAAAATTTAGTGAGTTATTAATTTGCCATTTTAATGCTGTGAAAAACGGTAAATTTGCAGTATTCAGAATGCAAATATCTTTAAGAAACACCAAAAGGCTGAAAACTCATGATGTTGACAAAACAATTAACTTTTTAAATTATCCATCAGGTTGATACCTCAAAGTTATATTTGCTATACCTGCTTTCTTCTTAAGATAGTATTCTAACAAAAAACTTCCCAGCAGAAGAAGCAGAGAAATAAATGACATGGAGCCTTAGCATTATGTTCTTGTAATAAGAAAAACAAGTTCTTTCATAAACTTCGTCTCAGAAAGTAAGATGAGGTTGTAGAAACTCCGTCTTTCTTTGCCCGGATGAATCTAGGTTGCATTCAAACTTCTGCCCGATACGATGTAAAACAGAAACTTGATCTTGGTGTTGTGAATACGCAGTAAACATTCTCCATTTACAAGGAATTCCCAATCCCTCAAACCTGTTCGTGAAAGCTTCCAGATACACTCCACAACTTAATTCTTTCATCAGAAATTTGGGATTCCCACAACAAAGTGAGTTTGGCTTGATTGTTTGCTCAATCTTTCAGAAAATCAAGAATGTTTAGCTGCTACCAGCTTGGTGGCGATCTGGGTTTCAGAGAACCCTGGCTTGCTTAAAAAGCTTAAATCTTTGGCTTCAGTCTGGAATCATCAGTGTCCTACTGCTTGAAGAAATGGACGGAGATCCCATAATTAGAAGCTTTAAACTCCAAAGATAAACTAGCATAATCCATAAGAAGAGGATGGAGCTCATATTTTTTGCAGTGAGAGTCCTCGAGGAAATAAAGAGCTTTTGTGAATCAAAATCATATGTTCTCAATGGCGGAGGAGCAGACAGCTTCGTTGTCATTGGCGAGCACACACTAGCGATGTGTGAGACAATGCTAGGTCATCCCAGTTCCCATAAATTAATATTTCCAATATAAATATTATATTTATACACACACTACATGTAATAATAAATTCTTGCATCATATACAAATGGACATTTTCAAACAGAAATATCAATGTGTTTTCCGGTAAATGTATTTGAAACGGTCGAAAACTCAAAGATTCTTCCTAGATTTGTTTTTTCTTCTTATGTAGATTTAATGTCAAGTGATTTGCAGTGATCTTTTAAATGCAATTATGAGATATCAATAGATTCCAGATACTGGTAGATTGAAGAAGCTTCTCTGCAAGCTTATATCAAATAAAATCACCACTGCAAGCAGAGTCGTGAAGATTCAGCTGTCTTCATTCGGTATGCCATGCTTTGATGACTGAAATTTTTTTTAATGTGAAATGCAATTTTCTGGTTATGGAGATTGCTCAAAGGATATACTCTCATCAAATGAAGAAATGGAGTGTTTGCTGTGGTTATGGATTATATGGACACTTATTTGTGGGAAGGAATGGTAGTTCTGTTGTAAATACTGACTGATAATTGTTAATATCACATGATTGAAATTACACATATCCTCTTTCTGATTCTACTAATTTTAAGCATTTTATCTTTCAAATATTTTGTGTGTTATTCTAACTTGTTTAACTATTTCAACAAACATTACATCAAGTATGACTATATTGTATAAATATACACCAAAACAACTTAGTTTGATTATCTTTTGTGAGCAACTTCAGGTAACCAATATGTAAGCATATGAATTAAGTGTTAATCCTTGATGCAACCCAGGTATAATTGCAAATTCTTTGATTACTCAACTATTTCAAATATAATCAATGTCCCATCATACATATTTATAGTAATCTTAACATATATTGAACAAACATTTCTTCATTGATGCATAACAAATCAAATCTCATGACATTCAATAATGTCGTTTCAAGTTCAATAAAAATCATGTTAAGAGTTTTAATCATGATTTGATATTTTCACCTTAATTATCTTAACACAAAAAAAACTAGATATATATATAAATAATATTTCCAATCTACCTTGAGAAAAAGCACTTCAAAGAGGCTCATAGCAGGGGTAATTTTATTTTAATCGTCTAATTGGAGCATTTCAACCTTTCATTGCATGTCCAAACCACTAATTTAACCATTTGCTTTCAGAAGATGCTACAATCCATCAAATTCATTTAATACTATACAATTTCTCGATTTTACACATATCCCTCTAAATTTTTATTATCCAACACTGGGATCCATTAAACAAAACGTAATTGTAATTTTATAAAATTTATATTCAATAAATTTTAGGGGCATGCATCCATACCACCTGATTCTTATTTATTTACATATCTAACACTTAAACTTTAGTTCTGAAATTTATACCATCTAAATCTTTAACATCACACCAAAATACTATTATTTTAACTTTTAAAAAGTGAAATATACCTTTTTCATGCAAAGGGAAAGTGGCATTTATGCAAAAATTGAAATTTTGGTGTTAGATATGTAAATGCAAAGGAATTGAGTAGTATCTATATAAATCTTCCTAAATTTCATGATATTCTTTAACCACATATTACCCTAAAGACAATGTTCTATTTTAGACATCCAATCTTAACTTGGAAGATATATTCTCATATACATGTCCATTATTTTATCTAATAAATATAAGATACTTAAATGTATTATCTATCACATAAAAACATCATTTTAATTTCTAATATTATTTATTGATAATTGTTAATACCACACCATTAATATTATATATCATACATTATTCTTGTTATACAAATTATAACCTTTTTTTATTTGGATAATTTCTTAATTTTTCTTTCTCCTTCAACAACAAAAAATGTTGGCATGCAACTAATTTCTAATAATGATATCCCACTTATAACCTTTGTAAGCATCTCAATTAACAGTGCAAAAAATGCAAGTAGTAAGTATTAAAACATTGATGTAATCATTTCATAATTTCAAGTACTTAGTCCATATGTCATCATACATATATTCACTAATCTTAACATAAGAAAATATTTCATTACATTACCTCTCATAACTTTTTTAAAGCTCCTGAACCTAAATATTTGCATATAATTATTAGTTACTTCTTACTAACATATCTTTTATTCCTAATCATGATTTTCAACATATAAAATGCATATAGGATTTAGTAGAACAAAAACAAAAAAGATTTCCTATAACTTTAGTTGGATTAAATGAATAATTATTAAACAATATTGTTGAATCATTACATAATACATATATTTGATAAGTTTATGTAAATACTAAGAATTTAAATTTTAGAGTATAATTTAGGTGCTTAAAAGTTGTGTAAAATACAATTAACAATTTATGCAACACAAAAAATGATTAGGATTTATAAAGTTGATTCAAAATATTTGTTATGAATGATGAGAAATGATGATGAGAAGGGTCAACATTGAATGGTGAAGTACTAAGCTACAACAAAAGAAAAACCCAAAGCCAAAATGAATATTATTTGTGAATATTCATATTTTTAATCCAAGTTTTAGGGGGGGAAATGTAAGGAATGCATGTCTACATATGCAATTTATTGATTCTGGTCATTTTTTAACGCTATTTTTTAACCACACTGTTAGAGAAAGATAGCCCAAATTTACTATAAATTCTATGTCCATCCACTATTTTGCTAATTGCAAACCTACACAGTGGGCGCACAAACAATTAGCAAGGTGCTGAACAGTTAGGAAATCCTAAGACAACTTTTTATCAAGCTAACTTTAAATATCCAAAGTGTTTGTGTATAAACTTTAAAAAAAATGTACTTTTCCAGAAAATCAACTCAACAGATAAGGTGTGATTTTGATATTCATATGCTTTAAATTAAATCACAAGAAAGGCATATGGAGAACTGTAAAATCCGGTCAAACATTATAAAAGAACCATCCTTCTTCATAATGTTGTTAACTAAAATGATAATAATTTCTATAAAGTCACTAACAGGACAAATTTTCAGAAACCATAAATGCTTCTGTCAAATAAGCTTATGGCCAAAGAAAACATCATTTAATTTAAACAGATCTGTCAAAACTCCAAAGATTATTATTTTAAAATTCTTAAAAGGCCAAAAATTCATAATGTCAAAAAAAAAAAAAAAAAGATAATTTGTCAAAATTTTAACAGCAATTAGGCCAAATACCTGATATTATCTTTGCAACGCCTGCTTTCTTCATAAGAAACAGTACTAACTCAGAACCTTCTCAGCAGAAGCAGAGACATAAACATCAAGGAGCTTTGGCATCTTTTTCTGATAAGGAAATATAAATTTGTTCATAAATTTCATCTCAGAAAGTGCAATGTAGTTGTAAAAATCTAACTCCTTCTTTAGATGTCCCTTCGCCTTCAGAAGCTTCAGGATACGATTCCTTGGAATCAATCTTCTATTCAAACTAAGCCCCAAGATGGAGGGATGACTAATCACATAAGAAGGCTCACATCCTGCTTCCATTACCAAGAATTTAATCGTCTCCTGCAAGTTTTTCTCAGACAAACTGACAACAGAAGGTTGTTTCTGAATAGCTGACAGAATCTCAGCCTCTGAAAACCCTAATTTGCCCAAAAACTTGATCTTTGTTTTCACCACATCTGAGTTATTTGCTATAAAGAAACGGAACGCTTGATAAAACATCTTAGATCCGCGAGGAATTCCCAGTTCCTCAACCCTATTAGCCACAGCTTCCAGGTAGCTGAGAGGTCTACCCATGAGCTGCCGAACCTTCATCATCAAGGACCCAATCCTCGCATCAGAAAGTCGACATTTCCTCAAGAAACTGAGATTGGGTTTGATCATCTTCTCAAGGTTACAAGATAAAAGCGAAATATCATTCGAAAAAGCTTTGACAACGTTCTCGTCGGAACCAAGAACGCCTCTCAAGAACTCAACCCTAGGAAGCACATTGCAATAACTCAGATAATTGAGATTGAAGGGATTAGCGGTAACCAGTTTGGCAATCTGGGTTTCAGAGAACCCTAGCTTACTCAATCCTTCAATCTTCGGCTTCAGGGTAGAATCTACATTAGCGCATAGTATTCTGGAGTGATGCAAAATGATCCTTTTGATGTTGGAATCGGTCAAACCATTCTGCTTGAAGAATTGGAGGACGGAGTCGGGATGCGAGGGTGATTTGATGTGGATTACGGACTTGGAAGCTTTGATCGCTTCTTCTGGAGATAAACCGACAGAGTCGATGAGGTAGTTGACGATGGAGAAGGATTTTGGGGGCGGGTCTTTGACTTTTGAGGCGAAGAGGGAGAGGGGGATTCGGAACTGAGAAGAGGAGAAGAGGGTGGAGATCTTACTCTTTGAAACGAGGTAGTTGAGGAGAAAAGAAGAGTTTTTACGAATCAAAAACATATCTTTTTCTTTAGCGGATGAGAATCAGATTGGTTTCGATTCGAAGAACAGCAGGCGCGCGCGTATGTTTCTGCTTCGCTCTTTACCTTCTCTTTTGAAAGAAACCTAAGAACATTGGCAAGCTTTCATGGCTTTTATTTAATTTTAATTACTTTTATAGAAGGATAAATATGATTAGGGCAGTTGTCTATGAAATATTATGAACGGGTCCCTGACTAATCTTTAACATTTATGGCGTTTTTGGATTCCTTTTAATTTTTAAATTTATTTTAAAAATGAATCAATAAAATGGATGATAAAATACATTTATTAAGTTTATTTATTTATGAAAATAAATTATTTTTCAAAGTTAAAAAGAATTATAAATTGTCTGCATATGATATTTAAAAAAAATATTGAATATATTTCTACATTTTGTTGAATTTAAACATACTCTCCACAGGCACTCCAGTCAAACTTTCTAGTCATGATCTAGGTCGACTTGCCAGTATAATCATAAGTAGACTTGCCACACGACTAAAGGAGAGGACATCTACTAAGATTCAGGAACGACTCACCCATTAATCTCACCAGACTCATCTGATTGACCCAAACCAGAGAGCTACTCAACAAACTAGAAGATGGTGACTACCAATCTAAATTTGAGTTTATATTTGGGCTATACATATGACTGTGAATTTAGCTTGTAAATCGTTAATCACTCAAAAATTGATTCGAATTTTGGTTCATATCGAAATAAACGGGTCAAGCTACAAGCAAAAATTTTAGATTAATTTTTTTTCGAGTCGATTTTGAGCCGACCTCAGCTCGGCTCGAAATCAGATCGTTAACAACTTAAGTGATGTTAGAGCTGTGAATTTAACGAATTTAGCTCGAAGAACGTTAATCATTCGGAAATTGATTCAAATTTTGGCTTAGATCGAAATAAAAGAATTGAGCTATGAGACAAAATTTTGGATCAAATTTTTCCGAGCTGATTTTGAGCCGACCTCGACTCGGCTCAAAATTGGATCTTTAACAACCCTAGCTACGCACCTTCTAATTTTTATATATTTTTTTAATCTTATTGCATGTATCTCATTATGATGCATTTTCTATAGCGCTCAAAGACCCAAGTATATATCTATAAATAATTGCGAATTTTTATTGGGGTGTTTGCATTCTTTAGCGAGCAAAGTGCCAAAATAATCCCTGACTATTTTGCATGAGGCCATTTTAGGTGTTGATCCCTGATTCATTTAGAGTTGAGCTATAACAATCCTCTATGAGAACTATTTCAACCTCAATTTAAAGAATTTGAGAACTATTTTATCACTTCTATAAATTTTTAAACTAAAACGATACTATATAAATAGTCGGGACTATTTTTGACACTTTACTTGTTCTTTACCAATGGAGCCTCTTAAGCATCACAGTCTATTTTCTACCCACCCTTCCAACTTCTTTATTTTTTTTTTTCAAACACTGCTCTCTTGTTTCAAGTTAGTAAGATTCTAATAAAAATCACCTATTAGGACCCAACATATATTACAGAATATAATAAGTTTTCCATAAAAAAAAAAAGATATGATGGATGTAGCTCATGAATATAGATGAAGATTTTACAGATATTTGGAGAACCCACATGAAGTCACTGACAGGCTTCACCTTCTTTGGATGAGTAGCTGTTGTACTAAAAAGCTTTCAGATGAAACTGTCTAATCAGTCTCTTGAGACCAAGCAGGCGAGAGAGTTGTTCAGATGATTGTGTTGCTTTATAGTCTTGGATCGCCAAGCTACCATTTATGAGTTCATCATTGTGGTGGCGACTTCTACTCGTTGACACAGAGATAGAAGGAACTTTGGACTCTCGGCAAATTCGGCCTGATAGAGCCATGAAGCTAATGTGAAACCTCTTGAGCAGAATGGAATTATGCTCTTGAAAATCAAGGCACATTTTGGTATGATGTTGACATTTCATCTGAAACTCCAAGTTCATTGTAACACCTTAAGTTCGGAAGGCGGTACACCTGGGCAACACAAGGTGTGATGAAATGATGTGAGTTTGTGTTGTCAAGATATATGAACTTCTGGACTCAAGATGTGCAGAATGATATCAGAGCATCACACACCAATCTGAAAATGAGAACTAAGTGTCATACAAAATAAAGACCACATCATGAAAGTCACCTCTTAAACCCTATATGACACAATGTTATATAGTGACTCTTGAATATGTAGAGGTCATTTCCAGAATCATATTTGTCTAGTAGATAATTTCGAATTAAGAAAAATGATGAGGAAGTCAATTGCTTAAGTGCGCAAGATTATGAATCCCTTAAGTAGAATAAAGCTGAGCTCATAAACATCAATGTACCTTTTGGCATAAGTCACCAAAAACTCCTAAATTAAGCATACTTGTGTCAGAGCAATTCTGAGAAGTTACGCCAATGGGATAAAATTGTGATACCATTAGGTCAAAGATGACAATATGCACCTCGAAAGCATCGAATAATCAATGTTTGTCAAAAATCCAATATGAATACCTGCTTTTACTGACATTTTCTTTCTAGATTCTTCACAAAAATATTAAAAAATAAATAAATATAAAAAAGGTTCTAACTTGGAATCTCCCCAGCAGAAGCAGATAGATAAACATCATGAAGCTCTGGCATCTTTTCTTTATATCGAAAAATAAACTTTTCGACAAACTTCCTTTCAGACATTGAGCTAACATTATAAAAACCCAATTTTTTCTTCAGAATTCCCTTCGTCTTCAGAAGCTTCAAAACCTGATTCCTAGGCACCAATCTTTTACTCAAACTGAAGGTGAAAATATTAGGGTGGCTGCTCAAATAAGAGTGATCACATCCAGCTTCCTTCACCAAAAACTTACCCGTCTCATGCAAATTCTTCTCAGACAAGCTCAAAATATAAGGTTGTTTTCTGATTGCAGAAGAAACCTCCGTTTCTGAGAATCCTAAGCCGCCCAACAACTTGATCTTAGCGTCAACCTGTTCCGATGTGTTGGAGCAGAGAGAACGCAGAGCTTGGTAGAACATCCATGACCCACGAGGAATTCCTAATTCATCAATCCTCTTAACTGCAGCTTTAAGGAAGCTGAGCGGCCTGCCGATGATTGATCGAACCTCAGTTAACATACACCCAATTATTGCATCAGAAACCTTGCATTCAGTCAAAAAAATGATATTGGGCTTGATCACCTTCTCAAAGCTACGAGCTAAAAGAGATACATCATGGGAGAAGGCTTTCATGATTCTATCGTTGGAGCCAAGGAAAGATCTGAGGAACTCAATCCTGGGAAACACGTTATAAAAATTCATATAATTGAGAGTTAACGGGCTGCCTGTGACTAGCTTGACAATCTGGATTTCAGAGAACCCTAGATTGCTCAAACCTTCGAACTTTGGCTTCAGGGTGGAATCAACTCTAGCGCATAGTATTCTGGAGTGCCCTAAAATAATCCTTTTGATGTCGGCCTCGGTGAAACCGTGCTGCTTGAAGAAATGGCGGACGGAATCGGGCTGCGCAGGGGATTTGATGTGGGCGCTAAATTTGGAAGCTTTGATCGCCTTCTCCGGAGATAAACCAACTGAATTGATGAGATATTCGACGATGAAGGGGGTTTCAGTAGACGGGAGTTCTGCTTTAGAGGTGAAGAGGAAGAAGGGGATTTGCAAGTGAGCGGAGCAGAAGATGGTGGAGCTCTTACTACTCGAATGAAGAAATTGGAGGAGGGAAATCGAGCTTCTGCGAATCGAAAGCATTGCCTTTTCGCGGCGGAGAAAACCCTAGAGGGACTCCAGATTCGAAGAACGAACCCTTACTTCAAGTTCTTCGAAACGGGCATGTGGGAGAGGGATTGGGAAGAAGATTAGGGTTTGGGATGGCCCGCTTAAATTGAAATTATATTATTTTTAAGATTTTGAATATAATTACTTTTAATAAGGGGTCTTACACCAATACCATGTAATTTTAATATATTTAAATATCTAAATTTTAAGTTAATACTTAAATTAATATCACATTGTAAGAAAAAATATTACATCAGGACTCCGCACGTAGAGTTACGTGCGTACTCCAAAAAAATTACACCGTAGAGGTGATCAGACCAGTAACACAAGAGAATATTCACCTCAAATTATTCAGGTGTTATTGTGTATTATTCAGGTGTTATTGTATGTTATTCAGGTGTTATTGTGTTCTGAGAATATTTTCGGTATTATAATAACACAATAACATATCAATAATATTTGAATAACACACAATAACACCTGAATAACACAATAAAAATATTCTCTTGTGTTACCTGGTCGATCACCTCTACGGCGTAATTTCATTGAACTCGTATGTAGCTCTACGTGCAGAATTCTGATGTAATATTTTTTCCACATGGTAATGCTACGTAAGAAACTTAAAAATTAGTATAATTTGATTGAGTGACTTTGATTTAAATAAATATCATTAAATATATTTAATTTTATGTGCATTAATTAAAGATAAATATAAATTATAAATTTAGAATCGAAATAATCTTTAATATTTGATTGGGTAACTCAAGGCTAAAGAAAGAAAAAAAAAATTAACGCAAAATAAGAAATAAAAAATCAGGTTGAATTTAATTGAACCAATATTTTCTTAAATGATTTTTTTTTATTTTTTTTTAAGTAGGGTTGATGAATTATAAAAACGTGCATTTCATTTAACCATATAAAGTCTTCAATCACTATGTTATAGTTCGACAATGAACATTTATTGTAACCTATGATTAAAATCATCTTACTCTTACAAAAAAGGTAAGAGTTTTGATTATATATTATGAAATAAAATTATTATAAGATCAAAATATTAACTACTTCATATATAAATCAATTCATATGAATTTAGAAAATATGAACATAGAAAAAAAGGAGTGTTTTTTAATCACATTTCTTACATAAATTAAAAAGACTTTTGTAGCATTTTTCAAATTTAAATTAAAAGTTTATTCAAAAAAAAAAAAAAAAAAAGAAAACAATAGAAAGATCATTTAAATTTTATTATTTGTATAAATTTATATTTTAGATTAAAGTGCCAAAATAATCTCAGATTATTCATATGTAGTAATTATAGTTCTAGAGTTTATAAAATTGTCAAAATAATATACAGAGAGTCTCGGGGACTATTTTGACATTTCTATAAACTGTAGAACTAAAACAACTCAATCTAAATAGTTGGAAATGTTATATGTTTTAATTAAAAAAAAAAAAAAAACTTAATGTGTCTTCTATAATCCAAGCATTTGATCCCTAAAAAAGAAAAATGTACATAAGGACATTAACATATGCATCATAAGCTCCATCCTCTCCGACATACCTCCCTGCTCCATAAGCTCACTCTGCTAGTCTTCAAAAATTTTTGTGCTTCCATTCGTCTCCTTCAATGGCTCAGGTGGCTTCATTCAAGTCACTAACATCTCTCAATCCCAAATCCTAACGCCATTAACTCTCCCCCCTCCCTCTCTCTCTCTCCCGGCATTAAATGAGACATGAAGACTTCAAAGATATGATTCCATGCTCGTGAACTCCAAAAATGGAGCCCACTGACCAAATCCTCCGTTCAAAATAAAAGCAATAACTTTTCCTCCTTCCCTTCCATGACTCCCCGTTCTTTTATGACTCAGTCTCCTTCAAATGAAGAACATAAATGAATCACTTCCCTCCTTCCTTTCCTCCTGCTTCTCTTAAATTCTTGTGAATCTTTCACCCGACGTAACATGATTCATGTGATTATAATCAAATATTCTTCGATACGTATATTAAATACTGAAATTTCAGCAGTGTATATATGTACAGAAAGTTCAGAAAGCCTTCACCTTCAATGCTCCCCTAACATTCCTTCTCTTCCCCTCTCTCCCTCTCTGGTTCAGTATCAATGAAGAGCTTTTACGTCCAGATAGCCATTCTCCTTCTCTTCATCTGCGCTGGAGACAGCCTTCGATCCACTCCTGGCAAGCCAGATCAATCTTTCGTCTGATATAATGTCTTCATCTTCCTTCTCGATTTTGTTCTGATTAACAGTTTGCTTTATCTGTACATAGATTCTCTGCCGAATTCAAGCGGGGGCATGGTAAGAAGTGATCTGAAATATAAGGTGCAAAACTGCAAGTTTTAAATTTGCTTCAGAATTGTGCTGTAACCAGCTTTAACATAACTTGAAGAGACTAAAGATTCAATTTTTTTTGTCTCTTTCTGTTGTTTAATGTTCAGAAAGAGGCTGATGGGGATGTAATGCTCAGCCCCGACGCAACCGGATCGAGCCTGCCGGATTGTTCCCATGCTTGTGGACCTTGCTTTCCTTGCAAGAGAGTCATGGTGAGCTTCAAATGTTCGATCGCCGAGTCGTGCCCGATTGTTTATAGGTGTATGTGCAAGGGGAGATACTATCATGTGCCCTCTAATTGAAGCATCAAAGTTTGATTTTCAATCTTAAGTTTTAGTTTTTTTGGGTTAATTATGTCTATGAATTTAAATGCATGGTAGAAGTCATATAAGAGAGTAGAGTTTAGTTATCAGAAACAATTTTGTTTGTATGTTTACAAGACATGTGAGATTTCAGCGGTTTATGTAATGAAATGATCTGTTGGAGGATTCAGAATGCTTGAAAATTAGAAGAATATTGAATAGATAGAAAAAAAAAATTGATTTTTACATATCAACCACATAAAATATTTAATATTATATTTTACCCCTAAAAAATTTAAATATAATATTCTAAAATTTTAATCATTATTTAATTATATATAAACAGAGCTCGGTAAATAAATAAAAAATATCAGAAGTACATTTTAAAGCTATTCAAGTGAATTGATATGGTTGGAAAGTATTTTAGATATGAGATGTAGGGTCCGTTTGGGGCAGCTTGTGCGTTTCAGGATAAGCAGGCAGCCCGCGGGCTGGCCGCAGTTTCGGATAAGCTAATGAAACGCGCGAACCAAACGATACAGCGGCGTCCGCACTTATAAGCTGCCCCAAACGGACCCGTAATGTGTGAAAATAAGAAAAAGAGCTCACATGCGAATTTAATTGCAGAGTTATTACTTATTTTACATGGCATGCCTCTTCAATTCAGTTGTTCAGCAAGGTTTGACCCCATAAAAATATTTTACATATTTAACACCGAAATTTTCTTCTTTACATACATACCGTTTAAATCTTCGACATCACATAAAAAATACCACGGTTACTATTAATTTTTTAAAAGTGAAATACAAGCATAAATTTTCAGCATGGAAGTGTTAATCATAGATGCAAATATCAAACTTTAAGACTTAGATTAGGCAAATACATACTAATTGTATGTTATGCATCTAAATTCCCTTCCTAATGCTTTGCAGAAGATTCAAGTATCCTGGCAACATGGATTTGTTAGAATCATAAATACTATTAGCAGCACTAATAAAGGTTAATAATTCACAAAAAATGGATTTTACTCTGATTTTAGATGTTCTAGTTGGCCTGGAGGATTTGTAAATCTCTCTTTAATTTATGAAAGTATAAATGGACCAATATATAAACATATGGCTAATGAATTTCAGACTGGAAGTACCTCTTTACTAATGTACTGTTACAGCAGGTATCTGAATATATCTTGTAAGAATAGTACTGTAATTTCACATATTTGTGTGAAGATATTGGAAAAGCAGCAATTACAGTACTGTTCTTACAGCATTTATACAGCATTAAAAAAAAAATTCATATTGACTGCCAGAACTGCATTTGCATTTTATACAATCACAATAAAAACAAGCTTAGAAATGATCTTTATCTTTATGAATCTTAATGAATATTGAATGTTGCGATTGCGAGATCTAGATATACATTAATTGGTATATATATAAATCAAACAGGAGAACGATCGACGAAACGAAAAATAGAACGAGAAAAATTCACACACACAAAAACAACAATACAGCGAAACACACAAATTTATGCGGTTCAACAAATTGTCTACGTTCACGGAGTTACTGAGAATTTTACTACTTGAGGAATTTACACCAGTCGATCACCTCGCTTACATGAGGACTCTCTCACTCTTCGTTGTTCTCTCTGTTCTTCTCTCTCTACACCGAGATACACCGAAGAAACTCTACATGAAGATACACCAAAAAAGACAAACTTACAAGAGAAATAAACTCAATTTCACTTCTGCTACAAGCCACCAAGAAGAAGCTTAAGGAGAACAATTTTCTTCTTCTTTTTTCTTCTTCCTTCTGTCGCAAGGAACTACCGCTTGCACTTCTCTTCCTCTGCCCCGAGGAAAACTTTCTCTATCTGAGGAAACCGAAGAAGAACTCAAAGCGTGACTACAAAACCTAAGGATTATCATGAACAGGAGGGAGCGAAGAGATGTTTCACTTCACAAAAGACAAAGACGGGAGTGGCTATTTGTGAAGAGGTGTGATTCTCCAAAGCAAAGTAACCGCTCAAGCATAGTGGACCGGGCTCCACTATTTCTAACATTGAAGTGGCAACTTGAATCAAAAGAACTCTTCTCGAGTTGAAAAACTTGGGTTTGGTCATCATCAAGAGGATGATATACGTAAATATCAATGACATTAAATGTTGGGAAAATGCATGCCTACAATGTTTATCAACTTGTAACTTGTACTTTGTGGTACTGGAAGTAAGCTTCCGACGAGCGTTTTGAAGGATGGCAGTGAAGTCGGTTGTTAATTGACTAGCAACTCTGCTGCCTGGTTTTGGTATAATAGTCAAATTAACTATATGGTTGGAAGTCTTATTATAAACAGTGTTAAATGGAGCCCGACCCGTGGAACGCTTCACCATAGAATTATAGGAGAATTCAGCTCGACTTAAGACTTATCCCATCTCTCTGTTTGTTCGCTCGCTAAACACCTATTCATATTTGCAAACGTTCTATTGGTGATCTTCATTTGGCCATCTGTTTGTGGATGATAAGCAGAACTCAGCTTGAGGTTGGTCTGAAATTGCTTCCAAAGTTCTCTCTAAAAGTGACTTATAAATTTGACATCACGGCCAGAGTTCAAGCTTCGAGGTATATCATGCGATCGGGCAATGTTTTGAAAAAGACACTTGCCACATTAAGTGCATAGAATTTTTTCTTGCAAGCAATAAAATTTAACATTTTGGAAAAACGATCCACAACCACCATCACAGAATCTCTCCCATGCTTTGCTTTTGGAAGCCCCAAAACAAAATCAAGACTTAAATCTTCCCAAATCAAATCTAGAATTGGTAATGGGTTGTATAGACCAGTGTTTTAAGAGGATCCCTTATAAATTTGGCATTTGTGACAACGTTCCACATATCTCGATACGTTCCGTTGGAGCTTAGGCCAGTAGAAGCGAGCTTGCAATGATGACAAGGTTTTATCTCTTCTAATGTGAGTTGCTAGACCACCGCCCTGGAGTTCTTAAATTAGTCTAATTGTGAATGAGGTATTTATTATACATAGTTGATTTCCTTTAAATAAATACGTCTTTTGGGGAGAATGATCGGTAATTAGTTGACTTGTTTTGCATTTGATTCACGGATCAACAAAATCCGAATCGTCAGCATATAAGTCTTTGATAGATTCCGTACCAGTGATACTAGTTTGCAGGGACACAACGAGACTAGCCCGTCTACTCCAGCAACGACAACTCTGTTAGGCACTCTAGATTTATGAGTTAGAACAAAACTAAACTTTTGTAAAAAGACTACTCATCGCATGTTCGATTCATTGTTTTTAGACTTTGTAGAGATTGTAGAGACCGATAATCACTAAACGAAATGAATTCTTAGTGAAGAACATAGTGCTCCTAATGTTTTAATGCTCTTATGACAACATATAATTCTTATTCATATGTGGACCATCTTTAACGTGACGGATGCAGCTTCTCATTGAAGAATTTGATGGGCTTTCCTTCCCGAGACAGAACTGCACCAATCCCAATTGCGAAGGCATCAACATCAACTTGGAATTGTTTGTGAAAGTCAGGAAAGCTTAATAAAGGGATTGCACACAATTTGTCTTTGATGGTTTTAGAACTTCTTTGTTGCTCAAACTCTCAGACAAATATTTTTTGTTTGAGGGCATCTGTGATTGGTCCCATAATTGTGCTAAACCCTCTTATGAATTGTCGATAGAAATTGGCGAGACCATGAAAAACTTCAAATCTCTGAAACAATAGATGGAGGCGGCCACGACTTGAAGACCAATTTGGTTGAGGGGGGCACTTAAGACCCAAATCTGCACTTAGCAAACTTTCTAGAATTATGTGCCACTTTAATGTATAATGGTGTCCTCAGTGACGCTGTTATACTAAAGCTTTTTTTCCTTTCCCTTAGGGATAGAGCCAAAGTGTGGCTGAATTCATTAGCCCCAAAATCCATCACCACTTGGAATGATTTAGCTCGAAAATTCTTAGCAAGTACTTCCCTCCTTCTAAGATCGTAAAACTCAGGAATGACATCACATCATTCTCACAATTCGATGGGGTAGCAATTATGAGGCATGAGAGAGATTTAAAGAGTTGCATAGGAAGTGTTACCATCATGCCTTACCCCACTAGCTAATTGTCCAAACTTCTATAATGGACTTGTAGGTTTCCTTAGGTCCTTTAAAGAAGCTGTTGCAAAAGATTCACTAATGTCCAAATCTTATGAGGAGGCATGTGATTTGATCAAGAAGATTACCACCAATAGTTTTCAATGGCCTGCTGAGAGCGTACGATCCAAAAATGTAGCTAGTGGGCAAACAATTTCGAATCGGTTTCTTAACACGCTTCCTCGTTGGAACGATACTCGATACTCTTTTAAAACCGCTTACCACTTGTATACATATACTTGCGTAAAGTGGCCGCCCGCTTCGAGGCACTTCTAAAGCCATCACTCACATCTCTCATAGAAAATACTCGATTATGCTAATTCATTCCTCGAGGCAAACTACATATAGAAACCCTAAACTTAAATTAAATTTCCCACTAATTAATAACACTATTCATGAATTTATTTATTGGGCTTTACATTCAAGCAACACAATTTTGTAATATTTATATATTTAACGCCTAAATTTTCCTATTTACAAGCATAACACTGAAATCATAACATCAGATAAAAAATATCAACTTAATAACTTTTAAAAGTCCTTTCATGTATGGTCTATAACACCAACATGTTATAAATATAAATATGCGATTTTAGGTGTTAGATATATAAATACATCAGAATTGCGTGGCAGATATGCAAATGTGCCTATATTTATTTCGATGCACTTATCAAAAACACCATTCTTCTATTTGCATATAACCACAATGGATTTTACATCACTTCATATCAACTATCAAGTATTTCCTTGCTTTTTAACTAAATTTTCTCATAAATTAATTATTTAATTTGATAATTTAAATAGTCCGATTAAATTCTCAAAAATACCATTATCCCTCATATATGACTAAATAATTAAAATTAAAAATAAATTTAATTACAAGCAAATATGAAAATCTCAAATAGCTCAAATACCTCGCATTGAACGTCTCTAATGAAAGAGCCAGCTAATCTAACATTCTAACCTAACAACTCTTTCTGGTCGTGGAATGTGGCGGCCGGTGATCGACAATGGCTGACGGAGGGCAGTGGCTGGTGACGGCCATGGTTTGCGACATGGACTATAGACGACGGCACGTTAGAGCCAGTGGTGTGTAGGATGGCCAACAACACTTTATATTAAGCTGTGTTTTAAATTCGACTAGATCGGCCGAATTCCAAATTCAAAAAAAAAAGAAATGAAAGTTGAATTTTGAGTACAATGTTATTTTATATTGAATTTGAAAAAAAAAAAAACCATTTCAATTTTTCAAAATTTTGTTGACATAATAAAAGTTAAACAAAAGATTTACATAGTGACCACTAAATTCCAATGTATTTACATATTATCACATAAACTTTAATATTTATGTATATACCATTTTATCTATGCATCAAAAAATTATATTTCCTTTTTTTTTCAAGTTAAAATAATATTATTTTTAGTGGGATTAGGGCTGTCAAAAAAGTTTGTTGTTCGTGAACAACTCGTTCGGCTTGTTAAGCAGCTCGTGTTCGGCTCGTTCGTTAAGTAAATGAGCCGATCACAAACAAGTTTTTAAAGCTCGAATTATAAACGAGTCGAACACGAACAACTCTTTGCTCGCTCTGCTTGACTCGTTTTAGCTCGAAATTAAAAAATATATATATTAGATATATTATTTATATAATAATATATTATATATATTTATATCTAAGTTTAAATTATAACATCTTCTCAGATAATGTGGTTAGTGCATTCTTTTGTATATGTTTGGTTCAGGTTTGAATCTCACACTTTACATCTATTTTTTTTTCAATTTAATTTTTCCGAGCCAATTTCGAGCCGAACACAAACACAAATATTTAAATCGAGTCGAACATGAACACTGTTCACGAGCTAATTTCGAACACGAGCCGATTTCGAACACGAGCTATTTCGAATGAGCCGAACACGAGCTCGCTCAATCTCGGCTCGTTTGCAGCCCTAAGTGGGATGGGAAAATTTTGGATGGTATAATAGTAACAGTTTATGTACAAGATATGTAAATACATGAAAATTGGGTGGTAAGTATGTAAATGCCCCGTCAGCAACTGTCACGTCCATTCCCGCTAATTTGGCTCAGATCTCTCCCGATAACTACTTTATAGCTAACAAAATATATTATTTCTTCGGCGTAATGATAGCGACATGATAATTAGATAAAATCATTAATTTATCATTTAATTTGCTATTAAATAAAATAAATTATGAGAAATATATTAAAAAAAAAAAGAAGAAAAAGGGCTAAATGTGCTCCTGAAAAAATTATTTCATACGGACACCATGCGGTGTCATGCGGCGTCTAATCTCTACCGTCGATCACCGCAAAGATGTATTTCGGTGAGCCACACATTCAACTTTTTTTTTTAAATTTTAATTGTGATGATTGACGATGAAGATTGGACACAGCATCCGTGACGTATGGAATCATTTTAATAAAAGATATGTATTTTTTATTTTTTTATTATTAGAAAAGTATCAATTCAATTTTCAGATATTTAATATTTACTAAAATAATCGTCAATTTCTTTTTTAAGGAAATAGTTATATTAACTTAATGACTTCCATTAAAAAATTTTGAGAGCTAATTTTGGCATTTTATAAATTTAGAGATTAAAATCAGCCTCTTATAAGAAAATCAGGAGATTATTTTAATATTTTACTAAAAATCATCAATTTACCAATAAATTTAGATATATATATATATATATATATCCCAAAATAGCTATGAAAACAGGAACTCCTCCTTTCTCGTCTTCATTTTCCGTCTCCAGAATCCAGAACGAGAGGCGTATTGCATCTACAGGTGGTGCTCGTCGTCGATGTCGCCGGATTCACATTGTATAATTTGCCATCTTCTTCTTCTCTGCTTTCTTCATTACCAGTTTCTGAGATTCGAGTTTTCATTTCATTATCTTGATCATCTTTTCCGCTTTGACTGGTTTTGGGTATTTCATGTTCTCTGATTAGTGTGGATATTAGAGATAATATGGGAAATTCAGTTAGGTCTCTTTTGGATTTGTTTTGATGGGGAGATGTTGGCCGCCAATACTGGTTTGTGGACCTTTTAGAGCTCGAAGATACGGGTCTGAGAGTTTTGGTTTTATAGGTATGTTTGGATTGCTTTAGATCATTTTTTATCACGCATAGGGTGAGGCATTAGGGTTTTTTAAATCCGTCTACGTTTATTCGTGAAAGAATGGGGTCTGTGATTTATGGGCGGGGGATTATTTTGATGTTTTTTTCCCCTGTTTTTTGTTTTCGTTTTTTTTGATCATTGACATTTAAAGTTTGCATCGAGAGGAGTTTATCTTTATATGTATGATTGCTTGGCGGTTCAATCCAGTAAATGAACTGCGTGGTAGAATAGATTCGGAAGGTATTATCCTGAACAGGGAGGGAGATATCCCGCGCCGAGGAAATAAGAATTTTATCATCAGTTTTTTATCCAATCAGGACATTGAGTACCTTTATTTGGGTGAAATATTGAATTTTCTTGATATGTGAATCTCGTTGGTTCGAAAGTTGTTTGTAGGTTTCTCGGCTTATCTAATGAAAACTTTAAGGGCTATTTCGGATCACCTATATTTTTAATTTTGCTTTGCTTTTTAAAAGTGTGTTTGTTTAGTATGTTAAAAAACAGTCAAACATGATTTAACAAACCGAATGTGTTTTATTTAAAGGAAAAGACAAACAAAACGAAATAAAAATAAGAAGTAAAATACAAAAAACAAAAGTGTTCTCAAAACAACCAATTTTTAGACCTTTTGTGATTGATGCTGCTCAAAACCTTTTATTTAAAGGAAAAGCTTAGATGTCATTGATCAGCAGTAGTTACGGGTTTAATTCATTTGAACATTCAATATGCCATAATTGCATTTGTAGTCTTTGGATTCTTTCTGAAGTTAATTAGTCTTCTTAGATTCTATTTGCTCGCTTTTCTGCTATAATTTGCCATCAGAACATAATTATATCATTTAGTATTGTGCACAAATGAAAAATTCATATGGCTCTTTATCTGGAAGCATTTGGAGTGAATTCTCATTTTACTTTTGGAGATAAAAGATTATGACATAAGGAACATGCATAATATTCTGATACACACTATATGATAGATTATTTGATTATTCCTTTGGTGACTGATTTTTTCTATTGTTATCTTAGGATATTTTTGAAATAAAAGACTATTATGATTGGAGGAATGTGAAGAAAGAAGAGGAGTACAATTTGAAATAATAAATTTTATTTCACTCTTTTTTCTTCTTGATACACAAGTACACCACATCTATTCATACTAGTGATATCCCTTTTAGGATCGTGTCAACACATTTCAATCATAACCACTAATGACTCTCTAGTATTATCTTCTACATAATTCATTAATTATATACTTTAGATTTTCTTAAATACTCTTTTAAAATCTCTAGAATCCTCTAAAATTTTTTTCATAAATTGAGTCCCTTCAAAATTTTTCAAAGACTATTCTAGATAATGAGATCTATTAGATTCTAATTTCATATGAGCCAAATTCAAGTTTAATTTTCAACACCCTCTTTTAAACTTGATTTATCATTTCGAACAATCTTTTTATCTTGATAAAATCTTCATACTTGAGCTGCTTAGTGAATATATCGGCTACTTGATCATGAGACTTCACATGCTCTATTAGCACATTCTTTCTTGTGATGCAAATTCTAAAGAAGTGAAAGCGTGTCGATATGTTTACTTTGATCATGAAAAACACGATTCTTGGCCAAAACGATTGTTGATTTGTTAAGAACACAAATCTTTCTTGTCTATTTTTGTGGTAATCTTAACCTCTAATATATTTCAAAGTCAAATTGCATGAAAAATGCATGAAGTTGCAGCAACATACTCAATTTCACAAGTTGAAAGGATGATAATTGGTTGTTTCTTTAACATCAAAGTAAAAATAGTGTCTCCCATGTAGAACACAAACATTGTGATACTTTTTCTCTCATCAAAATCTCCGGACCAATCACTATCACTATATCAAACAAGCTTGAAATTATTCGATGATGAATAGAATAAGTCAAAGTCAAATGTACCTTTGACATAATGAAGAATCTTCCTGACAACCTTCAAGTGAGTAATAGTTGGAGCCTCCATATAATAGCTAATAAGTCCAATGACATAAAGCATGTTCGACCTGGTGGAAGTTAGGCAACGCTAACTTCCGACCAAGCTCTTGAAAATTGTTGGATTAACTATTTCTCCATTCTCATTTTTTGAATAACTTGCCTCCACATTCCATCAAAGTGCTTATGGGCTTGCAATCATTCATATTGAATTTATGAGTATTTCTTTTCCATAGCTTTTTTGAGAAAGAAATACGCCTTTATCATTTTGTTTAACTTTAATACTAAGATAGTGCGTCATTTGTATACTGTCTGTCATCTCAAACTCTTTAGCTATCACTCTCTTGAACTCCTTAAATATACTTGAATTCCTTTCAGTGAAGATCAAGTTATTCACATAAAAACACACTATCAAAGTATCTTCATCCTTGACTTTGATGTAAAGGGCATACTCATGAAGCCATTTGATGAAGTTATTCTTAAAGAAATACATGTCGATGTGTTTGTTCCATGCCCTAGGTGCTTGTTTCATCCCGCAGAGAGCCTTCTTCATCTTCAAAACCTTATATTCTTGTACTTTGAATTTGTAGCATAGTGGTTGTTTTGTTGAATGTGGATTTCTTCTTCAAGGACTCCATTAAGACATACTTTACATTCATTTGATGTATTTTTCACATATTTTGAGCTGTCAAAAAAATGATTAGCCTAATAATTTCAAGTCGAGCATAAAGAGTAAATACCTTATCAAAGTTGATGCCAGTTATTTGACCGTAGTCTTTTACCACTAATTTTGCTTTATCTTTCTCGAATTCTCCATTGGCACTCTTCTTTGTTTTGTACACTACTTCATGCCAATTGCCTCGTGCCCTTTAGAAAGTGCAGCTAGTTCCCAAGTATTATTGCATCTCAATCATCTTGATTTATTCATCCATGACATCCTTCCACTTCTTACTTTGCTTGACTTATTGAAAATTCATAGGATCACAATCAGCAAAAGCATAAAAGAGAGTCAGATTTTCTTGATTCTTATTTACCTCATAAATTTTATATAAACTTTGGAAATATGGTACTCTTTTGCTTGGACCTGTATTTGAACATGGTGAAGATGATGGGTGCTCTTGATTACATGTAGTTGGTGTAATTGGTGGTGCAGTAAGTTTCTCTCTTTTTTGCTCTATTCTTGGTTGCTCCACTTCTTCATTCTCAGTGTATGAAAAAAAGTTATAGTCCTCATCACATGGGTCTCAATCTCATTCTCCTTCATTGCATATGACATCACAACTAATGATTATCTTATCAATGTCTGAATTTTATAACTTATAACATTTTAAGTTAGAGTCATAACCGATAAAAATGAACTTCTTACTCATGTCATCCAGTTTATTTCATTACTTATCAGGTACATGTAAATGGGTTATGCTTCTAAATATTCTTAGATGGGAGATACTAGATTTACTTTCACTTCATACTTCTTACAGTGTCATTTCTCACACACTTTTTATTAGAAACCAGTTAGACAAGTGAAGCGTGCATGCAACTAGGGCTGTCAAAAAAGCTCGTTGTTGGCGAACAGCTCTTGTTTGGCTCGTTCGTTAAGTATACGAGCCGAACACGAACACACTCGTGTTCGACTCGTTTTAGCTCGAAAAAAAAAAATTATATAACTTTTTATATAACTATATATTACATATATTATTTATATAATAATATATTATATATATTTATGTCTAAGTTTAAATTATAACATCTCATGTAATAATGTGGTTAGTATTTTCTTTTGTATATATTTGATTCAGGTTCGAATCCCACACTTTACATCTATTTTTTTTTAATTTAAGTTTAACGAGTCAATTTCGAGTAGAACACGAGCCTAAGACGAACACGAATATTTAAATCGAGCCGAACACGAACACACTGTTCACGAGCCGATTTCGAACACGAGCTATTTGGAACGAGCTGAACACAAGTCAAGCTTGAGCTCGCTCAAGCTCGACTCGTTTACAGCCCTACATGCAACAATTTCAGCCAAAATTCATTAGGCAGTCTCTTACTTTTAAGCATACTATGAACCATGTTGAGGATAACTCGATTATTTCTTTCTGTCACACTATTTTATTGATGGGATTTTGGGATATTCAACGGTCCACGTATTTCATTGGCTTTACAGAAATTTTGAAATTATTTTTAAGCGAACTTGCCTCCTCAATGTGATTGCAAGGTTTTGATCTCGATGTTGTTTTTTTTTCATGAAAACTTTAAACTTCTTGAATACTTCAAAGACCTCTGATTTTTTCTTAAAAAATATACTTAAATTTTTCTTAAAAAGCCATCTATGAAAAGAATGAAATAATTACTATTACCAAGAGAGCTTGACTTAATTGGACAACACACATTCACATGTATGAGCTCAAGTGGCTTTTGTGCTCTGGAATTTGATTCATTTAAAAAACTATTCCTAAAGTGCTTCCCAAGCCAGCAACATTCTCATATTTGGTCAGGGTGATTGATGCAATGTAGACCTCTCACCTTTTTCCTTTTTGATAATAGCTTCAATCCTCCAAAGTTAAGATGTCAAAGCCGGAGATGTGAGAGCTAAGATGGATCTTTGTGGCAGGCTTTGAGAAACTTGACATTGTCATTTTGAATATTGAGCAAGAACATCCTATTTCTTGACGTTAGTATCTTCACAATTAGATTGCTCATATTATTTCTTATAGACAAGTTATTTTTCAAATGAATATCATATTTTTTCTCTAAGAGCTGATTTAGGCTTAGTATAACACTCTTCATATTTGACACATAATAAATGTTTGAAATAAATTTGTAATTTCTATTTTTCAACCAAATAAGGATATTACGTTCGTTTTCACTGCTGCCTTGGACTCATCTCTAAAGGATACAATATCACTCGATGACCCGTTAAGCTTTACCAACATGTTTTTTCTCCCACACATGGCTGCTTGCACGGGTGTCCAAATATCATGTATTAGCTTCACCCTTTTCGTTTTCCTTATATCACAGTAGTAAAGTGTTATCTTGTTGACTTCTCTTTTCTATGTACTTAGCCATATCTTAATCTTTATTGCTATTGAAAGCTCTGCATTTTGCAGCATCGTGATCAAATTTTTGACAATTGTAATACATCATTTGAGATCTTCCATGAATTAGTCTTTATTTTCTTGTTCCACACACTCTTGTTGATCTTCCTCCTTGTCCAAAATTGATGTTATTGTTGTTTTCATTGTTGGAACTCCAACATTGTCCATGTCCTTGTCCCCAGCCATGTTCTTTTCCTTCTTTTCTATTGTACTTGAGGTTCTCTTCTTTAGTTGAATTAAATTGCATCTTCAGGAGTTGTTTTGTGATCTCTTGCTTCTTTTTCTTTTCTTCATAGGCTTGTAAGGAACCTAGGTGCCGCTTAATTGTCATAGTGTCCAAGTATTTGGTTTTTTCAATGATGGTGATAATATCATTGAACTTTAGATTTAAAGATCAAAATTTTTTTTTCCAAAACTCTTACATCATCTAGCCTTTTCCCATTTCTCTTTAATTGATGATAAACTGCTAAGTCTAGTAAAGTAGTCGGAGATGACTTTGGGTTCTTTCATATGTAAGGTTTCAAACTCACCTCTAAACATTTGAAGACACATTTTCTTAACTTTTCTGCTCCTTGATAAGAAGTGTGAAACTTTTCCCATGCCTCTTTGGCAGACATCACATTGAAAATCTTCTCAAAAGTGTCATAATATAATTCTTGATAGATTAGATAGGGAGCCTTTTTGTCTTTCTTTCTCGAATCTCTTAGACAATTAGTTTGAGTTTGGGATAGGCTAGACTCATCTCCTGACTCTTTGTAGCCTTTCTCTACCATCTCCCATACATTTTGTGCTCCAATTATGGTAGTTAATTCTATTGAGCATGGAAACTTGAAAGGCAATCATTTTGTTGCTCGTCTTCTCTCTAGAAAGGATCTTATTATGGATCTGATACCACTTTGTTGGAAAGAAAATGCTATAATGATAGGAAGAATGTTAAGAAAGGAGAAGAACGCAACTTAAAAGAGTCATATTTATTTTACTTTATTTTCTTCTTGATACAAACTCAAACACACTATACCTATTTATATTAGTGACATTGCCATTAGGGTTGTGCCAACATATTTCAAAATTTCAATCTTGTGACAACTGTTGACTCTCTTAAATACTCTTCTTGATAAATAATTAATTATATATTCTATAATTTTCCAAACACTTTTTTAAAATATGTTTCTAGAATCCTTTAAAAGTTTCTTCATAAATTGAGTGTCTAGAATTTTTCATACACTATTCTAGATTTTGGGCTTTATTAAAGCCCAGTTTGATATGAGCTAAAATCAAGTTTAATTTTTAACAGGATTGTTCATTTGAAATATTTATTCATTTATAGTCACTTGTCGATTCATTTATGTTGCATAGCTATAGTTCTGGAAGCATTCTTGAGCTATGTCTGATTGTTTTATTGCAAGCTTCTATCTTCTAAATTTACAAGCTTAGAACAGCGATTTATCATATCTGGTTTCATCGTCTATTCTATATCATTAGTTTTTAGTTAATAGGCTGTTGGGATCACTTCTATTTTTTATTTTTTTATTTTTTTTGTTTTTATCTTTTTATATTTTTTTTTAAAACAAAACATGTCAGATATGTTTGATTAAAATATGATGGTTTATGAAAACACTCAAAATATCTATTTTGAGTATTATCAAAAATATGTTTATTTGTTTTTAGAAGAAAAAATGATAATATATTAAAAACACATCGAACAAACACATTTTTAAAAACAACAAAAAAAATAAAAACAAAAATCATAAACAAAATTGTTCGCAAACAAATCCTAAATGATAGAATTTGACTATGAAGTGATGTCAGCGCCAAACCTATAAATCTCTGCACTCAATTATTTGTTAGCAGTTTGTAAATGCAAAACTCTTGGGGGATGAAGTTCTGATTCAATTCTCTTTTTATGTGTAGGAAATTGAAGTTTAACTTGATCATTTGCGGCATTTGTAACTTTATCATCCACCAGCTTGGAATATAAAATTTGCATGTCTGGATATGCGATGATGGATTCTTCACAGTATGGATTGGGAAAATATAGACCGCAGAATGGTTGCAACGAAAAACTTAGTGACTATGGGGCTAGATGGTACTTTTCGAGGCAGGAAATTGAAGAGAACTCTCCATCAAGGAGTGATGGCATTGATGCGAATAAAGAGGCTTATCTTAGGAAATCATATTCTACATTTTTGCAGGATCTGGGGATGAGGCTTCAAGTGTAAGGAATTATTTAGATTTTTGTGATTCTAATTTGCACTAAATTCTCTTATCATATATGACTCTTTAGTAAGAAATGCATTCTTCATTATTTTCATCATGCTAGTTCCCATCTTATGCGTACATGCTGAATTGAATATTTCGTTTGGAGGTGGCATATCAAATTTGAAGGTCATAGGCCTATACTGAGCATGCCTTTTTTTGTTCATTAGCCGTACTGGAGTTATCAGGATAAATATTAATTATATGGATAATTATTCTGTTTATTTTTCTTTACCGCAAGTTAATCCAGAATACTTGTCTATGTGGATATTCAACATATAGAAGAAATATATCATTCCTAAATGTTTTCTATTCAGTTTTCTCTCAATTTTTTGGTAAATTTGCAGAAGGCTTAAAACACAGAAGTGTTTAACCTGCTAAAGAGTGAAAGCTTGAAGTGTTTGACTTTTAAGATTTATGTACTTTTATGTCTAGGATTTTATTTGCAATCATTTGTAGTGCTAATAATAAATTTGAAGTGCTTGACTTTTTAGCATTTGTTTTCAAATTAATATGACTATTACGCCAAAGAATGGTGTGATATCATTCCTAAAAGATAGTGTGTATAATGACTAATTAAATTTTATTGTTAACCATCAATTCATAACTATGTAGTCAGTGTAAAGGTGATTTTACAGTTAAGGGCAGAAATCCAGACCTAGCCCATACGGAATTGTAGATTTGACACCAGCGACAATCAATAAAACATGGCATGTAAATGTTACCATTTTATTAATATTATGTAGCATTCATACAACATTGACATTTATTTATTTGTATATTGTAGTTAGAATAAGTTTTGACAATGCAAAGCATGTAATGCATGATTATATATTTCATCATGATATTTTTCTTGAACTGATGAATCTGTTTACTATTATAGACCGCAGGTGACAATTGCTACTGCTATAGTCTTCTGTCATCGTTTTTTTCTTCGCCAATCTCATGCCAAGAATGACAGGAGGGTTAGTAATTTATTCTTGTTCATGTTTTTGTGTTCTTATGTATATCACTTTAATTAAACATAACATAAAAATTTAATTTTTTTTTGCGGAACTAGTGTATCTGCTAACCTTTATTTTATGTTAAATGATGTGCTACTTGGTTTGAATCGACCTCCATGCCAAGAATGACAAGAGGATTTGTGCATCATTCTTGTTCTAATTTTTGTTCTTCTTCTGTGTATCACTTCAACTAAACACCGAGTGTTAAAAAAATTTAGCTATATTGGTGTGTCTGCTAACCTTTCGTTTATTCTAAATGATTTGCGGCAAGGTTTCAATTACAAACTTTTACTGGATTTTGCATAAATATTTGTAATGGAATTTTATGGTCCAAATGCACATTATAAGGATGCGACGAGCTGCCAAGATAGCTCCGCCGGCAAGCGCTGTCATCACCACTAAAATTAATTTATTCAATATTTAATAAAAATATAAATATTTTTAAGAAAAATGTATATTTTTTTTATAATTAAAATCGAAACAAAATAAAATACAATAACAAGCCTTTATCTCACTTAGTTCTAATAGATTAATATCATTTTTTTATATAATATGCCTAAGTCTTTTTATGTCTACCTTTGCATTCCTTAACATAAGTCAAATCTAAAACATCTTCTCTCCTAAGTGGATCATTGGATCATCAAATGGTCGACATTTAATATGAACAAACCATCTAAGACGACTCTCTCTAATATTTTTTGTCACTAGAGCTACACCAACCCTTTCAGAGATAAATTCGTTTCACATTTTGTCTCTTCAAGCCACTCATCCACCTAAGCATTCTCATCTCAGCAACACTTAACTTTGTTTTATGGTTCTCTTTAATGGCCAACATTCCGCTTCATAAAGTATTGCATGTCTCACCACCATCTTATAAACCACCATCTTATAAAATATTATAAAATATTCCTTTAAGTCTAAGTAGTACTTTTCTATCACACAAAAGACCTGATGCATTCCTCCTCTTCAACCAACTATCCTGTACTCTGCAAATAATATCTCCATCTATATTACCATCATTTTGAGCAATAGACCCGAGATATCTAAAACGTTTACACCTTTAATGATTTGATCACCCATAACTACAACTCTGCCAATAGAGCTACTGCTAATAAGATTACATTCCCTGTATTTAGTTTGAGATCTACTAAACGAAGGCCTTTAGACTCAATGTACACCTCTATAATTCAAGTTTTACCCGACCTCTTTCTCTGGTTTTTTCCATAAGAAGGATATCATCAACGAAAAGTGTACACCAACGTACATCCTCTTGTAAATGTCCAGTAAGAGCATTCATAGCTAAAGCCAAAATAAATATGGGCTTAAAAGTCAATCTCTAATGTAATCCAACTGAAATAGGAAAATACTTGGTCAATCCTCCTTCTGTTCAAACACAAGTAACAACTCTAACGTATATCTTTAATGATTTGAATATAAGTCAAATCAACACATTTCTTTTGTAGAACTCTCCAAAGAACTTCTCTTGAAAACTTATCGTAAGCTTTTTCTAAATCAATAAAAATCTTATATAGATCTGCCATATTCTCTCAGTACTTCTCCATCAATCAAACTATAACAACAACAACTAAAAAGCCTTAATCCCATTAAGTGGGGCGGCTATATAGATCTTTTTCCTTCATTGCGCCCTAATGAGTGCCATTTTTTTATTTAATTCTAATATATTAATATTGTTTTTTATACAATATGCCCAAGTCAACCTCTACCTTTGTTAACATAAGTTGAAGCTAAAACATCTGCTCTCCTAACAGTATCATGAGATGGTCGATGTTTAGTTTGACCAAACCATCTAAGATGATTTTCTCTAATCTTGTCCGCCACTGGAGCTACACCAACTGATACCGAAACTAGTTCAAAAATCAGTGGGAATGAAAGAAAACTTTTGTTAGCACTGAATTAGGGGTTACAACATGACACAAACTAGAAAGGAAATTACACTAATCTCTAGTTAGGGCCATTATAAAAGATTTGAGGCAGCAATGGCGTCGGCGAAGCTGTAAGGGCAAGGGGAACAGATTTAATGGACTGCTTGAGGGTTAGAGGAGTGGGGCAGCTGGGTAGGATGCAAGGAAGATAGGGGTACTAGGTGCAGATGGAGTGGTCTGGACAACAGGAGTAATGGTTGTAAGGGTTTGGATTGAGGGACAAAAAGGGCTGCTGCAGGGAAGAGGGACAGTAGGGTGCAAGAAGGTGACCTGAGGGCTGGGCAATCAAAGCAGCTATAGGGGAAAGGATTAAGGGGTGTTGGGGTGCAGACTGGATGGCTGGACAGCAGCTTTTGGGATGATAGAGGGCAACAGAACGACTGGTGTGAGATGGCGTGGTCGACGGCTATGGAAGGGGCAAGAGAAGGGGTAGGGAAGAAGATAGGAGGAGGCTGGAAGGATGTATCACTACCTCATAACAGAATACAGTCGAAACACCACTCGTCGTTAGATACAACCCTAGCAGGGTGAGGAGCAGAATCCAAGAGAAACTCTGAAATAGCAACAAGCAAAAATTGAACCCTAATTTTAGAAAACAGTAATTAAAAACTCCCATAAGAAACAGGAAAGGAAGGGGGGAAGGGTTGTTAGCAGTGCTGCCCGTCCCTAACAGCTGCTCAGGCCCATTGGGACGTAGACAAGGGCATTAGGGAATTGGGAGGACCGGTTCTTGAACCGGCTGGCTCCTTATCCCTAGGTCAATCTCCTGGGGTTGGGGAAGCTTCTACCTCATTCTTTGAAGCTTTTGTTCCCTGTCTGCAATCATAACATCACCTGAATTTCATTGACGACTGCACTGCCCTCCAAGGCACCTGTGGGTCTTCCCCAACTTACGAGCAAACATCCACATATGTCCCATTGTCTGGGAGTCTACTATTGAGCTGAACTGAGTCTACATATTTCACCCCTACCGCTTAATACTCTCATAGTCAAACACGATTGTCTTAAGCAAATCTGAAGTGAGGTAACCTGAACTTTCCCGTCTGGTGGTGAAGTTGGTGGTTCTGTGTCGACCCTGAGACCCTGAAATACCCTATGTTGTGTATGTCTTGTGTCTAGAGCTGGTGTCGCAATCTCACCATCCTCTGTCGTCACCAAAACTGATCCAATTAAGGTTGCGTTGTTGGTGAGGGCTCCTGTGATCTTGAGCTTCGTCAAAGAAAGTAGGATGATGTGTTTCCCATTCTTGGTGAAACAATATGTGTTTCTGAATCCGTCGTGTCAAGTCCTCTTGTCAAACTGTCACGGTCTTCCCAATAAAAGGTGACTGACTCTATAGGGACTCTGGTCCTGCAGCTGGCCCCCAATCAAAAACTCTAATAATCATCTCCGGTCGATGCTAACCCGATTCTCCTTCTTTAGCCACGCCAGTGAGTACAACTGGAAATTTCACTGAGTCATGAGGCGCCATATTTAACAACCATCTGTGTAAACGCCATGTTATTACTGCTCCCTTCTTCGATGATGAGGTTACATACCTTTCCGTTCGCGGTACACTGGGTGTAAAATATATTGTGGCAAAACCACTGCGAATCCCTGTATCAATATCGGTCTGTAGGACTCGTCGAATCATGAGCGCTTCTCCTTCATTTTGTAGAAGATGATACATCTCACCCTAGTCCTCAATTGTCTCCTCGTTGCTAACTTTCTCTACGACACCCTAATCTATGAGGTTGACTACTCGACTCGTGGGATGTTGGAGGCTATATGGTCATACTCGTGACATCTAAAACATTTCCTGTCTAGTACTGTATTGGCGAAACTACCTCTCCATTTTCTTCTCACTCTGATCCGACTTGTCATGTCCTTGTCCAAGTTTGCTAGTTTCTCCCGAGGTACTTTTGTTGGTTGTGGTAGTTGTAGGTGACTGCTTGATTGAAGGCTGCTATTTGAAGGATGACTGTTGCTTGTTTTGTTTCTTTTGTCTTTTAACTTTCAAGGCTAGAGTCTGAACAAGTGACAAATAAGGCTACAACTGCACTATGTTGCTAATAATTGGCCTTAGGCCCGCCATATAATGAGCTATGATATGCTCCTCTGACTCGACCAACTCACACATCATTTGTAGCTGATCAAACTGCTTCATGAACTCCTCTACTGACAGATCTCTTTGTTGTAGGTGGTGGAGCCTCAAAAACATATCTTGACAGTAATGGGAAGGGATGTATTTCATCTGCATCACTTTCTTCATCTTTCCCCACATGGTAATTTTATCGTTTCCTTCTCTTTTTCTCTTTCACTATAAGTTCCCCCACCACAAAGATACACTTTTCTTCAACTTGATAATAGCTATTTGAACCTCTTATCCATTGACACATTCTTACACTCGAAGATCCGTTTAACTGATTGCAACCAATCAATAAATTATTCTAGATCCATACCTCCATCAAACTCTGGCAGATCCACCTTGATGTTGAAGTCTCTGTGCCCTCCCAATTATATCATTTCTCTGAAATTCTCCTTATGGAAGGGATTCAAATATTCTTGTCTAGGCCTCATCTGATATTGGATTCTGAAACGTTGTGGTTTGTCTTCTTCATTGTTGAAATTCTCCTTATAGAAGAGATTCAAATCTTCCTCTCTTTATCCCCTTCAACTCTCCCTATCTTGGTCGATAGTAACCTCCCCTTGTCATTTCATATATCTCTGCGGGCCTCGATTGAGGGGAGCTCTTGCCGTATCTCTTCCCGGGTGGGCTCAGGCATATATATCCTTAGTAGCATGGTTATAGTTTGGGATTTGTCAAAATAGAAAGGGTATTTGGTGGTAGGAAAGAAAATTTATGGTTTATTGTAGATGCTAGGAAACCCTGGTATAGTACTAGGGTTAAGCTAGCTTTGATACCAAATAATACCGCAACTAGTTCGGAAATTAGCGGGAACGAAAATAATTTTTTATTAGCATTGACTTGGGGGTTACAACACTATATAAACTGGAAATGAAATTGCAACATATACTAATCTCTGGTTAGGACTGAAATAAAAGATCTGAGGCGGTGGTGGCATCGGCGAAGCTGTAAGGGGAAGGGATTTAGTGGACTGCTTGAGGGTTAGAGTGGGGTAGCCGGGTAGGATGCAAGGAAGGTATGGGGGTGCTGGGTGCAGATGGAGTGGTCTGGACAGCAAGACTAATGACTGTGGTCGACTGGATGTGGTGTGTGGTCTGGACCAAGGGACAGCAGGGGCTGCTGTAGAGAAGAGTGACGGTAGGGTGCAGGTAGGTGACCTGGAAGGCTGGACAACCAAAGCGATTGTAGGGGAAGGAGTGTAGGGTGCTAGGGTGCGGACTGGATGGCTGGACAACAGGTTTTGTGGCTGTAAGTGGGGCGGCAGAGCTGCTAGAGGGAGATTGGGTGGCTGGCAGCTAGGGAAGGGGTAGTGAAGAATATAGAAGGAGATTGGAAGGATATATCACTATCTCACAACAGATTACAACCAAAGCACCACCTGTCGTCGAATACAATCCTAGCAAGGAGAGGAGAAGACTCCAAGAGAAACTTTAAAAGCAACAAGCAAAAACTCAAAAAAATAGTAATCAAAGACTCTCATAGGTAAATAAACAAGAAAGGAAGGGGGAAGCGCTGGCAGCAGTGCAACCCCTCCCAACTAGAATCTCGGTCCCATTGGAACCTTGATCGGGGCATTAGGGAACCGGGCAGACCGATTCTCTCCCTTTGCCAGCCAGTTCCAGTTTAGTCGGCTGGCTCCCTAGTTTTTCATCACCAAGCCTATCACTGATATAATCATTTCAAATTTTGTCTCTAATTGTAAAACCAACTCATCCACCTAAGCATTCTCATCTTAGCAACACTTAAGTTTATTTTATACTTCTCAATTAAAGACCAAGATTCCGCGCCATAGAGCATTGCAGGTTTCGCCATCATCATTTCCTTTCAGTCTAAGCGGTACTTAACTATCACACAAAAGGCCCAAAACATTCCTCCACTTCAACCAACCAACTTGAATTCTACTATTGATATCCCCATCTATATAACCATCGCTTTCAACAATGGACCCAAGATATCTAAATCGTTCACAACTTTTAATAATTTGATCACCCAAAGTCACAACTCTGCCACTAGAACTACTACCACTAAAATTGCATTCCATGTATTTAGTTTTAGATCTACTCAAACGAAGCCCTTTAGAATCCAATGTAGACCTCTTTAATTCAATTTATCCTGAACTCCTTCTCCAGTCTTGTCCACAAGAAGGATATCGTCAACGAAAAACATATACCAAGTACATTCTCCTATAAATGTCCAGTAAGAGTATCCATAACTAAAACAAAAAGATATTGGCTTCAAGTCGATCGCTAATGTAATCCAACTAAAATAGGAAAATACTTGGTCAATCCTCCTTCTGTCTGAACGCGAGTAACGCCTCTAGTATACATATCTTTGATGACTTGAATTATAGTGATCTCAAACTGGCGCTAAGTGAAACATTGAGAATTATTACGTTAAAATGGTCTTAGGAAAAACTAGGAAAGATAAATTAAGGAGTGATTATAATAGAAGGATAGTTGAAAATCATCTATTGAAACTATGCATGCAGCTAGTTTTAATGATATTAAATTGAATAGATGATTTTGATCATTACCTAAAAGATATAACATTGAAAACTAATTGGACAGTGAATTGTTTTCTCCTCTTATTTGGAAAGCAAATTATACCCGTCTGTACCTTTAGAAAGATTTATATGGCCAGATTTTTGGAAGGATATGAGCCGTTACCATTGCACATGTGGCTCTACTCATCCACATTCCTACATGGCTAAGATTTAAAGCGGATTTAATTAATTATGTTATTGATCATTGATAAATGAGGAGGTGTACTTGAATTCCAAATAATTCAGAAGTCTGGTTGAATGATGTTTGATATTTGACGATAGAAACACTTTATCCTTCTGAAAGAATTTTAGTATTAACTTGCTATTATTTTTTTTTTTTCTATTTTTTTCTATGTAAGTCTGAATATATGCAAAGTTATGTGAATGTGTACCTATATGCATGTGTGTGTGTGTATATATATATATATATATATATATATATATATATATATATATATATATAGAAGTTTTGAGTTATTTCAAGTTTGAATTAAACTATTGTCAAGCGATTCAACTTTTAGTCGTTATAAATTGATTTTGATTTCAATTCCATGAAACTTTTGAGTTATTATTGACCAATTTTGAGTCTAGGATAGACATCCCATTGATTTATAAAATCAACCCCAAAAAGTTGGGACAAGGCCACTGACGATGATGATGTTATTTTGATTCCTTCGTAACTTACTAGTCTTTTGACTGATTAACGTATATGGCCCGGGATGACGCTGTCTAATGTAAAGATGATTTGTCATGGGCTCAATTGCTATATGTGAAATCCAAGTTTGATAATTTGGCAATTCACTTTTATGTGCTTCTAATTAATTAGCCATATCATATTGCATTATGTGTTTGGTTTTCAGCTGGTGTTTTTGGCATTTGAGTGGTGTTGAACTGAACCTTTCATGTAAATGAGAATTTATCTAAGCTGAAATCTTTCAATTGTTTGAATCATTGAAACTTTGATTTCAATATTTTGAAAACTAAAATTTTTGCTATATTTGCTTAGCAAAATATGTTTAATGAAGTTTTTATTCGGGCATCTACTACAAGCTTGATACAAAAAACAAATAAACAAATAATTAAAATAGACAAGCTTGATACTTGTGCTGATTTGCTGCAGAGCTTGATGTTTTTACTTGCCGCAGACAATTGCTACAGTGTGTATGTTCCTTGCTGGCAAGGTTGAAGAAACTCCTCGCCGCCTGATGGATGTTATTCGAGTTTCATATGAGATAATTCATAAGAAAAGCCCTTTAGCTGCCCAGAAAATGAAGCGTAACTTTCAGGTTTTCATTAATTAGAATATAGAATTCAAAATGAAGTGTTACTCTTATGTACACCGTTGTGTTCCATTTATTTCTCTTTACCTGGACGTAACTATACCAATTTCTTTTTGCTAATTTGGAGTTTCTTTTTCGCTTCATTTTTTTCAGGGAGCGTCCGAGCAACAAAAGGAGCTCATTTTGATGGCGGAAAAGCTTGTTCTTGCTACCCTCGGTTTCGATCTGAACGTCCAGCATCCATATAGACCTCTTGTAGAAGCAATTAAGAAGTTCAAGGTGGCAAAATGTTCTCTTGCTAAAGTGGCATGGAATTTTGTGAATGATGGGTACTATATCTTTCTCTTTATCTTTACTGGTTCCATTTTTATTTCTTCCCTTGATTTATTCATTCAACCATTCTCTCCAGGTTGCGGACATCACTTTGCTTACAGTTTCATCCCCAACACATAGCTGCTGGTGCCATCTTCCTTGCTGCGAAGTTTATAAAGGTGAAGCTTCCGGCTGATGGAGATAGAACCTGGTGGCAAGAGTTTAATGTTACTCCTCGGCAGCTTGAAGGTTGATAATTCTATCAATTCTTTTCTGACCTTGGAAACATTGAATGTTTTGATGCTCCACCAAAAAAATTTCTCCTTCATGCTACTCGCAGATATTAGCAATCAATTGTTGGAGCTTTACGAGCAAAATCCTGCAGCCCAATCATCTCATGGCAATGTAGCTGATGGAAACTCTTTTGCTGGAACCAGTCATCTTCCTGCAGGGACAACCAGCTCAGCTGTCAGTGAGACTTCAGCTTCTGTAAATAATGCCCGACAAGGAGCTCCAGCTGTTCCACCATTTCTTATCAGAATCCGACAATCTAATGCTGATGATACACGTTTTGGTTCTCAGATTATTCAGATTCATAAAAATGGCAAAGCTTGTAGTGCTGATAGTAGGAGTGGTGTCTGGGACCATAATTCAGATAGAGGAATCGTTGCAGAAGATCTGAACTCTTCAAAATGCGATAGAGGAATCGTTGCAGAAGCTGTTTCTGCTGTGGAAAACATACCAAAATTCCAAAATGATGCAAAAATTCAGCTGTCTATGGCAGATGAAAAGATGGAGCAGGAGAAGATGAAGGGCTGGCAGAAGCCCATCCACAGTCTGGAGAAATGTCCTTTGCCGGCAAGTATAAGAAGGAAACCTAACGAGTTTGGAAATGACAATGGTGGTGATCGCTGCAAACTGGAAGATGGAGAGCTCTCCTCCCTTAATGAGCATGATTATTCTTCTCAGTTGTCGCAGAGTTATAATGCTCATGTTTCCGGCACGGTGAAGAGAAAGCCAGATGAGACGTGGTCAGACCATTCAGGAAGGGACCACAAACGGGTCCGATAATTAAAATCAGTAACAAAAACAGAGTAGAACTTTGGTCAGCTTCGGCAGTTTCTCTAGGTAAATCATCATCTATTCTATGGCATATCTGATACTACTTCTCTTATTTCTTTTTTTTCAAGAGATTTGGGGGCCTTCCTGGACTTGATTTCAGCACTAAAATCTTTTGATAATTTTTTCACTTTCATAATTATCTAAGGCAGACTATCTTGATTGCTCATCAATTGGTGGGGCTGATGATCAACAAAATCCACTGACGAAGATGTCGGAGTGTAAGAAGGAATATTTAACCCTCAAAATACCTTGGAAGATCTGCACACGTGATGTTTATCGCGCTTGTACATTCATGGTTATGTGCTGCTGCTCTACTTTTGTCATTCAATTCTACAAATTGAACAACTCACATCCATGACATTCTGATACTAGAAACTTCTCCTTTTCAACTCAAGGTTCTTCCTTTGCTGATTGATTCATTCTATTGTTATCTTAGTAATGTTCATTTGAAGTATTTATTCGTTTATAGTCACTTTGTGATTCATATATATTGCTTAGTCAGTTAAATGAACGTCACTGCCAAACCTATAGTTCTCTACAGTCAATTATTTTATTAGCAGTTTGTAAATGCAAAACTTTTGTTGAGATGAAGTTGTGATTCATGTCTCTTTGTTTATATGTGTAGGAAATTGAAGATTTGAGCTGATCAGTAGCGGCATTTGTAACTTTTATCATCCACAAGCTTGGAATATAAAAATTGTATGTCTGCATATGTGATGATGGATTCTTCACAGCATGGACTGGGGAAATATAGACACCGCAGGATAGTTGTAACGAGGAACTTCATGACCATGGGGCTAGTTGTTACTTTTCGAGTAGGACATTGAAGATAGTTCTTTATCAAAGAGTGATGTTAGAACTGCAGAAGGAGACCATGGAAGAGCTATTATCGTTGAGGGCCACTGTAGTTCTCAGGTAGGAAAAAATATTACGTGTGGATGGTATGCTCAGGACAAACTCGGAGTGTATTGGGGTGTAATCGGGGCGTACTCGCCCAATCGGCATGTACGGATTACGCATGTAGTATTCTCTCTTGGAGTATTGACCTGGTGGCCGCCATTTTAAATTTATATTAGGGACATGTACATACGCACCACCCATTGTCTATGTATTTACATATCTAACACTTAAACTTCATTTTTTTATATTTATATTACACAAATCTTTCGTATCAAAGTGAAATATACCATTTGGCCTTCCTATATGTAAAAGTTGAGGTTTAGGTGTTAGATATGTAAATACATACTATTATTATATAATTTAATAATGTTTAGATTTTCACTCAAATAGAAATTTGTTCAAAATAACTTAGCCCGATCTCCTAAATTTTTTTTTAGACCATACATCATTCGAAAAGTACTTGTTATGTGTAAACACTATTATATAGCTTCTGCATCATCAGAAAATATTGCATACTTACAAAGTATTTGCTTATAAGGGTGGATGTGACCATCATAATTTTACTTATATGTAACGTGATCACTCTATCTATCGTTACAAGTACATATATAAACCCAGTTCATTTATGATGATGGTTTCCAACTTTTCATTCATTCAGAATGTTTATTCGCAGGCTGCGTTGATGTGCCATAGACCTACGTGATGCTTAGCAATAACACTGAATTCTTATGTATTTATAGCATTCCAAACAATTCTCATGCATTTACTTATCTAACTCCTAAACATGCATATTTACATGCTGCATGTGTTTTGCTTGGTTCCTCAATTGTGAAGAAGAAAGAAAAATACATAGGTACGCATTACTCTACCTATTCCGAGAAATCAGAAGACATTGGGATGGCAAAACGGATGTTTGTCCTAACAGATAGCCATGGCAGGGTTTGTTGATTATTAGCTGGAAGGTCTTTTCTAAATATTTCTACAATTGATGCAGACTTCAACTTTTGGGTAGTTCCCATAGAAATAGGACAAGTCATGCTTGGCAGTACTGATTTATCATAGTCATGAATAACAAATAGACATATTGTTAGATCTCTCTAAAAGAAAGAAATGCACTCACGGATATGCCCCTTGGACATGACACTGTGCTCCTCCCCTTGATATGGGACCAGGGCAACTCAAGGTCCAATCGCAAGATAAGTGGTCCCAACACCTTGTTTTAACTAACAAATTATAAAACAACTCAGTTTTTGCCAATAGAAAGGTCTAAAACTTAATCATTATTGCAAAAAAGATCAAATGTATCTAGATGAAAGAAATGGACCTCTCCCTCAGGGAAGTTGGAGGCACCCATGTGGTGAAAAAAACATATAGGAGGAGTGGCTAAAAGCCCCAAAGAAAGGTGGACATGCTGGATTGACCAAAGATCCTGAGTACTGAGAGACGTATTTGAAGTAAGAATACATTTGCTCATAAAGGACGACGATTTGTCAAAAAGAAAATTCTCCAACGAACTGTTTTATTCACTATATTCACCACAGTGAACAGATACGAGCACCTGGCTTAATACTAATGTAATGATTTCTCAAAATTTTTTATGAAGATGAAAGAGAGATTTATCCTCAAAAGAAAAAAAATGAAGCTGTAGAGCCTTCAAGGACAACACTCTAGGAACTCGCCTCTGATATGACATGAAATCAACAATCAGTAACATACCACAGAATGGAGATCATGTGTTGACATGAAAATGAAGGAGATAAAGGCAAACATAATTTATTATATATATGCACAAAATAAAGTACAATTACAAGACCAATCCAAAGTCTTGAACAAAAATAAATTGCAAAAGTATGTCTCATACTCCGTAGTAGGATAAATGTTATCAAGCTTCAAAGCTCTGAAATGTGGAAAATGGACACCCGACATTCGGTGTTCCCTCGTTCGCATTCTAGATTTGAAGCATGTGACCCCTCTTCCTCCTCTTCATCTTTAAAGAGTATATAAAGGGGATTGGGTCAGGGACACACTAATGATTCTCTCCATCCGCGTCATCTTGTTGTCCAAATATAACAAGATGGTTAGATATGGAAAGAAAATATATGGGCAATAAAACACCCATATATTTGACTCATCCAACATGGTAAGGATGTTGGAAAGAACTTCCTCCTCAAAAGACGAGGTCTCAAACACTCTTTATGGAGAGAAGTGGGTTTTCTCGGCATCTAAAAGAAACTTGGCTTATAGAATCCAAAGACAATAATGTTCAAATTCAGCGAAAAAGTTCTCTCTTTCAAATATCAACGAGCAAGAAGCTCAAGACGAAGGCTAGGAAGCAAAAGAATTATTCAGTTCATCTTCCTTAGAGTCTGCTTTTGTGCCCACCTCTCGGGTGGTGATCAAAAGATCGTGGTTTTGTCATTATTGTTGGGCGTTTGGGCACCTAACTTTCTAGGTGCAATCTCTTGCCAACCTAAGATCCTTCCGCTTCTACGTGTTGTAGCCGCTAAAGAAATGTCATAAACTGAGAAATGGGCACCTAAGCGCCCAGTTTGTTTTCCTCCCTTAAATCTCGCCATTTCAGCCCATTTCACGTCAAATGGAGGAGACCATTATGGAAAATTTTTGCATGGTTCCCATGAAGATTATGGAAGGGATAAAGGCAGGTGAGGGAACATCAAATCGAGATTTTTCCATTTTTTTGCAATTGGTTGGCTGTGTCGAGCAGGGAGTCTACTAGTGAGACAGGCCATGCGAAAGACTTGGTTGGTGTGGCAAACCAAAAAAAATGAGTTGGGAGAGCTTTTTTTGAGGGAATCCTCCACTATTTTCAAATTGAGAGAGAGTTTGGGAGAAGAGAAGAGAGATTTCTGGAGGAGAAGAGCCCAAGTGAAGAAGAACTTCTTCTTCTTCATCATTCATCTTTTTCTTTTTGTTTTCTCCTATTTTTTCTTGCTTCCTTGTGTTGAGAGTGCTTCCTCCTTCTTCTTCTTTCTTACATTTAATGAAAAGAGAGTGAAGTTAGGAGAGAGATTTGAAAGAGAGGAGAGGGTTTCTGGAGAGAAGATCAAGCAAAGAAGATCACCTTCTTCTTTTCTTCTTCCCTCAAATTTCTTCCACCAAAAATCTATTTTCTTCATCTTTTTCTTCCTCTTCCACCACCAATTTCTGGAAGAGGGTGAGAGAGCTTGGAGAAGACTTCAAGAGCGACGGAAAGCGACACGTCTCCTTCCGAAAGGAGAGCTTCTACTTGACTTTGAAAAAGTGAAGAAGCCGCATCACCTACATGGGGAGACCTTCCTCTCACGCTTGGGAGAAGGGGGAGAGGAGCCACTCTCCTACTTGAGGAGAGCTTCATCTTTGCAATCGCGGATGTCATCAAACATCGCATAGACGATACCCTTGTTCCCTTGCTTTTTTTTCTTTTCTTAGCTAGCTATAAGATTGTGTTAGAGATTATTAGGATAGGGTTGTTGTTTTCCTAGAGAAAGTCGCTAGGACAGGAATCCGTCGTGGACAAATCCCCTACGAATCTGAGTTACCTTCCGTAAAAACCTTGGCCCAAACCCAAATCGGTCGGAGTTCGTAATTTCCCTAGTGCTTTGGCGGTTCCAACCTTCCATGAAGGGGTTAGAACACTTAGGATTTGTAAGATGAAAAAAACTCTGTAATTAGTCCATCCTACAAATGGTGGAGAATTTCTCCTTCGAGGAATCAGAGGGTGAAATTTCTCATATCCTTCGCCAAAGTCAGAGGCAGCTATGTCACGCATCCATGAATTGAAACCTAGGTACCTATGCAAGAGCGCTAGGACGGGTGCGACTCACTACTGGGCATTAGCATTTGTGTTGCATCGTTTGCTCTGTCGTGATGAATGTCTTTGCATTTTGCATGTTATGTGTAGCACGTTCGTTCAACCGACCATGACAACCCAGTCGACCGATTACTTAGGTTCGACCAGCCGCCCTAGCCAGCTTGACTGACCATTTTGGTCTGATCGACCGCCACAACCCAGTCAACGACCACTTAGGTTTGATCGGTTGTCCCGGCCAGATGGCTGACCACTTTGGTCCTACCGGCCACCACGACCCGGTCAACCAATCAATTGGACCTAATCGCCCCCCCTGGCCCGACCGATCCATTGGCTATGTTGTCCCAGGTTGACCACCCCGGTCGACCCAATGGGTCAAACGGCCAACAACACTTGCATGATGTATGATTTTTATGTGCATTTGCATCATTCGCATGACGGTGCATGCCCTCTCTTGCTTCTATAAATAGAGAGGGTGTGAGGCTTAGGAGAGCAAAGAGAATTACCACAAAGGAGGAGAGAATAGTTATAGAGTTAGAGGGGAGGAGAGCATCTTGAGGCCTTGTATCAAGGTGTTGCTTGAGAGAGAGGCCATAGAAGGAAGAAGAGGGCTCATCTCTATGTATAAGCTATGTATTCTCCATTTTTTTGCCTTAGTGAACTATTTGATTGATTCTCTTCCGTGGACGTAGATCCAGTTGGATTGAACAACGTAAACGATCTGTGTTTGCTTGTGTTTCTTTTTTCGTCTCATTTCTATGCCAGGAAGTACATATCTCACAACAATTGGCGCACAACAATTGGCGCTACAACAATTGGCGCTGTCTGTGGGAAGATCCATATTTCTTGGCTAGAGATGTCCGCGTAAAGGTGTTCGCGGCCAGCGACGAAGAAGAGGAATTAGGCATTCACGAACAAAGGAGCAAGCGAATCACGTCGCAGGAAGCTGAATCGCGACAGATTCGGCGAGCAGTGGAAGCTTTGATCGACTGGATTCACACCGCAGGTTGTGCGGTTCGGCGAGACGGAGGAGGAACAGTCTGCGAGCGAGGGCCAAAAATTTGCGACAGGGCTTCCAGCAAAGGATTTCGGAGCAGGAGTTCGGTCTTGCGAGCAGCTCGGCCAGAGGGAAGAGGCGGAGATCGCGCAGAGAAGGGTTCGGGGAATTCCCTGTTCGGGAGTTCGTGAAGCAGGAGGACC